ATTTTACAGATGGAGAAGCAGAAGCACCGAGAGGTTGTGTAATTTGCCCAAGTTGACACAATAAGTAAGGAGCCTGGGATTTCATTCCAGGCAGTTTGACAAGTGAGTCCATTCTGTTAACCCCTGTGTTGTCCAAACTTAAGTCCAGGTAAAATATTCCCGGGGCACCTGAGTGGCTCAGTCGGTTAAGTGTCCGACTCTTGATTTCCACTCAGGTCATGATCTCGGGTCATGAGATTGAGCCCTGCATCGGGCTCTGCGCTCAGCATGAAGTCTTTTTGTTCCTCTTTCTCTGCTCCTCCCCCTGCTTCCTCTCTCTCTCTGTCAAATAAATAAATAAGATCTTTTTTAAAAAAGATTTTATTTGAAAGAGACAGTGTGAGAGAGAGAGAACATGAGCTCCCCGCTGAGCAGGGAGGCCGCTGCAGGGCTCCATCCCAGGACCCCAGGATCAGGACCTGAGCCAAAGGCAGATGCTTAACTGACTGAGCCCCAGGTGCCCCAAATAAAATCTTTAAAAAAAAAATATGCCCACACTGGATTTCAGATTTCTTCTTTTCCAGATACTTTTCTGGCTTATGTGAACATTATTTTAGCCAGGAAATGATATCAAATTATTTTATTTATTACTTCATTCCACAAATATTTATTGAGTGTCTATTAAACTGATGACTGGAATTTCATTACTATTCACTCGTGTGAGTTTAGTGGCTACCTACCATTAAAAATTGGAATGCTGTGACATTGATCTCTGACTTTGACATTTGGCTAAAATCTGCCATTCAGGTTCAGCTTTGGCCTCAACCTATTTCAACATCATTTCTGAGGACCCCTGAAATTTTGTATAATCAATAATCCTATGATCTTTGTAGGTAATAATTACATAAAATCACTATCATAATGTTGCTAATATAATCAAGGCGTAATTTGTGGGTCTATTTTAATAGATGAATATTCACTTACAGTTATATATGTATTTTGGACCTATCTTGGAGTGGAAAACTTCTTGCCAGTCTCTTCCAAAAAGACAATTCAAAAAATTGATATTTTCGGGACACCTGGGTGGCTCACTCAGTTAAGCATCTGCCTTCCACTCAGGTCATGACCCCAGGAGCCTGGGATCAAGTCCCGCATTGGGCTTCTTGCTCAGCAAGGAGCCTGTTTCTCCTTCTGCCTGCAGCTCCCTCTGCTTGTGCTCTGTCTCTCTCTCTCTCTCTCTCTCTCAAATAAATAAATAAAATCTTTTTAAAAAAATTGCTATTTGTAAAAACTTCCTTAAGACATCAAAGCCCATTATTGGCCTAATTCATCCATCTGTCCTAAACACATTCCTGGAATTAAAAATATATGACATTATAAATGGGTAATTTGGGCTAATTTTTTAATTTTCTGTACTCATACATATGGTAAGGGTGGGTGGCAGAAATAATGACAATTTTCATTTAAAGCCCCACCTCTTTTCCCCAGCCCTTGTCAGTATCTATTGCCCCTGAGAGTTCCATAAGAATAAAGCAGAGAGCATGGGAAGAAATCTTGAAGCAGAAATGTCCTCCTGCCTCTAAGTAACAAATACTGAGCAAGACTCTACCTTACCTTAGAATTTAGAAGTCAAGCAATTATCATAAGGATGTGTATTTATGGATTTATTCAAATAAAAAATGAAGCCTTACTTGTCCTATCAGAAATTAATTATTTTGACAATGAGAACTGGAAATTTAATCAGCTAAATGTATAAGTCATGGTTTAGAAAATAAGTTAAAGAATTTTATGAGGTTTTTTATTTACAAAACTGTAACTGAGTTAATAATATTTTAATTTTCCAAAATTTCTTAAGTGTATTAGGTGTCTTTAAGTAAGAAAGTAACAATCAGTACCCATTTATAAGTGCTGGTAAGTTTTTTTTGTGTACTTCCTAGAAACTGAGAATGAGATTGATTCTAATGACTGAGTTCCAAACTCTTCTGCAATTGACCTAGTTTCCAGTGCTTTGCTTTCAACAAAATTAAGGAGGCCATTTTTTTTTTAGCTGATAATTATAATTATATAACTACAATTATATTTAATGATGATGATAATGTAACCTTTGGCTTATAACTGAGAGGCCTAAATCCTTAAATGTTATTGTTCTAACAGAACCTCTCTCATTTCACTCTCTTTATGTGAACAGGATTTCTTGGTGCTTACACTTATAGGAAACAGAACAAGAATATTCTAGAATATAAACAGAATAGGAAAAATAGAAAGTAAATTGATAGTGGAAACTTGCCTTAATAGAGCGATAAGTAATATTCATTCAAGGGTACAAAATCTGACTGCGGAAACCAGATGGATGAAATGTACAATTTATTTCATTAAGAAATCATTTTCAAACAAAATTTTATCTCTTGTGTTTCCTGTTTATTAAGACTGTAGTAGATATGTATGGTCTTGATAAGTAATATACTGACAACACTTGTAATGATAATTCAATCCAGAAAAATTACATTACTACTCAGGACCTATAGGTACAAAAACTTTTTTTAATGATTTTGATTATCTTTAGTTACAGAAATGATTGATAAGGTGTTCATTAAAATATATTGAAGAATAAAACACCAGGATAAAATTATGTGGGAAATTAGAATGGAAATAACAAGATCAAGAAGAAACAGGAATGATGTAAAATTTCCAACTAGCAACAAGAAGATCCAACAAATGGCTGATGGTAGGCAGTAAATGACTAACGGTATGTACATTTCATTGCATATGTTTAAAAAGTGATATTACAGTTTTATTTTTAAAATAGCAGTATTTATAATACATTTTTTTATCATCTTGCACGTGATGAAAAATTTAAGTTAAAGAAGTGTGAGGAGTTACATGTTTAATAAAATTCTTTTAGGGAATATAAGAAAAAAGATCAAAGACCAAAGAGTATAAAAGTCTTAGTTGAGAATGCTGAGAAAAGTATTATTGATGCCACATAATATATATTTTAAATGTACCTAATAAAATTTGCAATGAAAAATCAAAACGATAAAGTTGATGACACCCAATTTATTCTTCCATTCCCGGAGTACAAGTTACAATGATGATTTTTGCTTCATCCAAAGATGGATTTTTATTTTTAGTTATTAGTCATTTAGCCAAAATATAGGTTTGTTGCACATCTAAGTTTAATTATGCCTAGGACCTCTTATAAGTCATTTATTACTTGTTATAAGCAAATTAATCCCACATTAAGTGGGTGGAGAGTAAGTATTATTTATGGCAGTGCAGGAGTGGAGGGGGAGAGCACTGGGGAATTCAGCAGGAGAGAAAAGAACATAAAGATTCTAGGGAGGGAAGGACCCAAAATCAAACAGAAGAGTTATATTCACTCAGCAAACATTTGCCAACTACTAAGGGCCAGGACAATGCTTTATTATAACTTACTCTATTTGACTTGGCTTTATGTCACCCAGTTTATTATCTTTCTTAGAATTTAAATATTTTACATACCTATAGTTTTACATACAGTTCCAAAAGGTGGCCACGTACATTATCATCACTTCTCACTCTCTCAGGTCATTTACAAAAATGTAGTCAAAAGGGCACCTGGATGGCTCCGTTGGTTAGGCATGGGACTCTTCATTTCACTCAGGTGAAATGATCTTGATCATTTAAGATCATGATCCTTAAGATCATGATCTTAAGGTCGTGAGATTGAGCCCCGCCTCCAGCTCAGAGCTGGGTGTGGAACCTGCTTAAAATTCTCTCTCTCCCTCTGCCCCTCCCCTCACTCATGCTCTCTCACTCTCAAATAAATAGATCTTTAAAAAAAAATAAAAGTATGTCAAAAACAAAATATACTTCATCTATAGAAATGTCTGTTTCTCATCACATCCTATTTTAGAGTTTAAACAGATTCTCTATTCAAAATATGCACACTTTATTTGTGGGGTCCTAGTTAAATTAATGTAACAGTGTGGATCTTTCTTATTTTCAGGATTCCATGAAAATAGATTCTAACACCCCAGTCTCCCTTGGAAAGCAAATAAGATGGTGAATCACTATTGAGAACATTTTTTTTAAGATTTTATTTATTTATTTGACAGAGAGAGAGAGAGCACAAGCGGGGGGAGCAGCAGAGGGAGAGGGAGAAGCAGACTCCCCACTGAGCAAGGAGCCCAACATGGGACTTGATTCCAGGACCCCAAGATCATGACCTGAGTCAAAGGCAGGTGCCGAAGGCAGACAATTAACCGACTGAGCCACCTAGGAGCCCTGATAAAATATTTTTATATTGCTCAAAGTAGAATTAAATAAGAATGTTCATCAAATAAAGGTCATTTCTTTAGGGAATAAAATGGATTAATTGGCTTTTATTCTAGATGTTCAATGAACTAAGAAATAATATATATTACATGGGTTGTATCCAAATGAACTATCATTTTCTTTATAAACAAACAAACATAAAGAGAGCTATAAAATGCAAATGTTAAGCCACTAAACAAGGGAGAGACTGTCTTCAGATATATTTTGTTTAAAATCCTGTGATAAATTCCACTTCTTTGTTTCATTAAAGAACCATATAGGATGAAGCTGAGGGGAATATGTGATGCTCCCCAGACTACTAAGAACCGATTTGGGATATGTATTTACATTAATAGCTCTTTTAAAAAAAGAAAATGAAAGTCAAGAATATTAACTGATTTCATCAAGTCATATAATTTATTTTGTTTCTTCTTAAAAATATTTAAGGTACTGATTAATGATCAGAGCCAGTGTAGCCTAAAAGTCCTATTTTTCAAAGACTTAGAAAATTTGAAGAAGTGGATCAAAGAATACTGATGGTCGTAGAAATAATCTGGAATTGATTTTTTTAAACTGGAAGTAGTTAATATGTTACAAAAATAAATGGTTAGCAGTTTACTTTCACTGCCCATCAGGTAAAATAAAAACCAGTGGTTCTGGAACAAGAACAGAGTTCAAGGAATCAAGGACTCAGATTCCTATTATTTCCTCTTTCTCTCCACACCATGAGGGGAAATCAACTGCCCAATCCAGTCTTGATTCTATTTTTCCTGCTTCTTCCCAGAGATGCTTCCACTGCTTCAAAACCGTAAGCAACATTTTCAGAAAATTCTATTGTCCTTCTCTTTTCCATTGTGTTATCTGCTTCTTGATATGTCTCTCTTATTTATTTTCTGATTTCCTATGAAATTATCTGCTGTTCAAGGGGTTTGGAAAGGTCAGTAAATTGTTATGGCTCATGCGGAAAGGAAACAGGTCTAGAAAACACAGAGACATAGGGTGGTAACATTTATGAAAATTTCACCAAATAAGAATACAGAATTATACAACATTCATTAAATAATAATATAGAATTCCTGCCAAAAAGGAAAAAAAAGGATACATTTCTTATTGTCTCATGAAAAGGGCTGCAGTGTCTCGTCCACTGTGAAATGACTTAGTGGCTGTATTTTCCCTCAGTCAGGGATCTCCAGGATGGATGCATGACTTTCAGACAAGCCAGGATTTGTGTGTCAGATCACTCAATTCTTCAACAAACCTGTAGAGGCTGGCATTAGATCTTGGGAATATACAGATTAACAAAATGTGGACCCTGCCCTCAATACCTCACAGTATGGAAAATAGGAGGAGATAGTGCACAGAGAAAGGAATACAGTGCAAAAGCTGTAAGCATTGCAGGATTCTGTGAGAATGCCCACATAGAAAACCTCCCTCCTCCTGGAACCTTTAAGGGAGATAAGAGAAGGGACATCATCTAAGTCTGCAGAGAGAAAGTTGTTTTTTTTTTTTTTGAGACCAGTCTTATTGAAGTAAATAGAATGTATGCAGATAGACAAGGACACTCCAGAAAGAGAGAGAGTCCTGGGCAACCAGAGCATTGCATAGTACAGCACGTTTGAGTGGTTGTAAATGATGGGTAAAGAACAACAAGAAAGGGATGTTTTCTTCTGGGTGGACATGGTAATATATTTGGTGATTAGCGTTGCATGGTTTGGCTTGGTTTCCAACAGAATGAAAGAGAGAAAAGAGCTAAAATTGCTTCTGAAATAATACTGCAAAGCAATTCAACTCCTCCTTTTCTATTAATTGCTATCACTTTAGTGTCCTGGAATAAGGAAATTCATGTCATCCACATGAAACCCAAGACCACCTGTAGATAGGTTCTTAACACTTTCCGTGATAATCAATTGGTTAATCACATTGTGTTGTTGCTTAAAAAAAAAAAGTTTTTTCAGCTTTAAATTGACAAATAAAATTACAAAATATTTCAAGTGTACCACGTGATGGTTTCACATACATATATAATGGAAGGATTCCTCCCATTAGGTGAATTAACACATCCATCTCATGCGTATTTACTCTTCTTCTTCTTCTTTTTTTTTGTGAAAACATTTAAATTCTACTTCCAGCAAATCTCATTTTTACAATGCAGAGCTATCAACTATAGTCACCATGTCATACATTATATCCCCAGACTTCATCTTATTATAAATGAAAGTTTGTACACTTTTACCAACCTCTCCCTATTTCCTTCAACACCCCTCCACCCCAGCCCCTGGCAGCCACTATTCTATTCTCTGTTTCTATGAATTTGATTTTTTTTTAAAGATTCTACATATAAGTGACAGCATGCAATATTATCTTTCTCTAACGTATTTCTCTTATAATGACCTCAAAGCCCATCCATGTTGTTGCAAATGATAAGATTTCCTTTTGTTAAGGCTGAACAATATCCCATGTTGATCCATTTCTAATTTTGAAAGTAATTTCCTTTTTTAAAAAAGACTTTATTCATTTGAGGAAGAGGGAGAGAGAGAGAGCACAAAAGAGATGGGGAGGGGGAGAGGGAGAGGGAGAAGCAGACTCCGAGCTGAGCAGGGAGCCTGATGTGGGGTTTGATCCCAGGACTCCAAGATCAGACCTGAGCCAAAGGCAGATGCTTAACCGACTGAGCCACCCAGGCGCCCCTGAAAATAATTTCTATCCAAAATACCTAATGACTCATGGATTGCTTATCCATAGCTTATGAATAGTTTTACAAATATTGTGAGAGTGAATATCCCCACAACACAAGAGAAGCATATTAATGTTTAACTTGTTGGAGGTTTCTGAGTTTGTAAAATCTTTTGGATTAGGCTTTGAAGAATACATTCCTCTACCCTCTTGCTGAAATCTGGCTCTGTTCTATGATTGGTGATTACAGAAAAGATGATCTAGAAAACAGCCACAATAATGACGTCTTTTTAACTTCTCCATGATTAATCCAGAAGCTTCTTCTCCACAGGCAGTATCTGGTGCTGGTCCCATCAGAGCTGTACACTGGGGTCCCTGAGAAGGCTTGTGTCATGCTTAATCACCTGAATGAGACGGTGACACTGAACATAATTCTGCATTATGGAATGCAGATCAGAACCCTCCTCACAGACCTGGTGACAGAGAAGAACTCCTTCTACTGCAGCCCGTTCACTGTCAGTATGGCTCCTCGGGATATGGAAGCTCGTTAGAGGAAGAGCATATTAGCTGATGCCTGTGTCTGGACACACGACAATAAAAAAGCATAGTGAAAAAACTGAGAGGCACAAAGTGACTTTCAAATTAGATTCCAAAAGTGAAGTTCTACTGACTATGCTTTCATAATATTTACAAACAATTCCAGTGCAATATGCAAAACGTAATAGTAGTTATGGGAAAGATTTTGCTTGCTCTTAAACTTGTGAGGGAAATAAAGTTCATGCCATTACCCATAAAAACACTGAATCTCATAAATTTAAGTGACTTATTTAAGATCTCACAAGTGGTCGTCGGTTAATGTCTTGTCCTTGTAACTTTTTATTACATAAGGAATTAAATAGTTAATCACAGGGCTTACTACCAATGATAACGCAGAATGTTGATGTTGACCATTGGAAAATAACATTTGATAATTATTTTAATACCATCATATTGCTGTGGAAATGAAAGCATGTTATTTCCTTCACCCTCATGACAGTTTGAAGAACTAGTTCCTTCTATTGCAGTGACATTTTCCCTTTAAATCAACAAAGCATTACTGTCATGTTACATTAAGCATAAGAATCTATAAATCCAGGGACATAATTCTCGACTTAGTCCTTACTCATTCACCAGGACTAACCAGAGAAATAAGAAAGTCATAAAGGCTGAGACATTCAGAAGTGGGTCTGCGCAGATTTTTCAGCTCTTTTCTGTTTTACAGCTTCCGGAGTTACCATCTTCCTCAGGGTTGATTACTGTGGAGGTGAAGGGGCCAACCCAGCAGTTCATAAAGAGGAAAAGAGTGCACATCACAAAAGTCGACAGCCTCATCTTTGTCCAAACAGACAAACCCATCTACAAACCAGGACAAACAGGTATCAGGAACCAAATCAGCAAGAGCAACTTTAAGGGGTGGGTGTGTGGTTCTCTATTACTTTATTCTGCAGTCATGAAAATCCAGGCATGTCATTATCTGTGTTATTTACCCCCCGATTCCCACTGGACGGTTTCAAGGGAAAAATCTCTGTTTCAGTGAGATTCCGCGTTGTCTCTGTGGATGTCAATTTTCACCCTTTGAATGAAACGGTAAGTCTCACTACAGCGGATGAGTTTGGGGGAAACAGGCAAAAATGTCAAGCCCATTCTTTTGGAGAACCTGAGACCAATATGATCTCATAAGAGTACCACAGCTGGAGAACAGGGAAATCAGTTCACCAACTGCATTATTAAAATAAAATATTCAGTTGAAATTATCCTTTTAAAGATCCAGTAATTTTTATTGAACAAAAGAAAATAAGTGCACTTGATTTCTCCCTTAGAGAAATGGAGACTTTCTCAGAGACAAATTCCATCCGCAAAATACACTTCTTATTTGGCCCTTTTTACCTTAGCATAAATTTCCTCAATTGTACAGTATTTCATAAAAGTAAAGTCATGACTTCTCAAGAGATGTATGTCCCAAACTAAACATGTACAGTGCCGTGAACCAAACTGGGGCACATTTCCTTGTTTGGACAAGAAATATACACTCACTTCCTCTGAACCAGATAGTTTATCAGTGCTGATGTCATGGCTTTCTTTTTCTAACCTCTATCCCATACTCATACTATTTTTTTTTCCTTCCAGTTCCCAGTGGTTTATATTGAGGTAGGTAATATCTCATGCGTCTCAGTCGAGATGAGGACTTACTACAAGTTATGTGCCAATGCCCCTTGCCACCTCCCCCCTCCCCACTAGCACTTCACCAAAACTAAACAGTTTTCCCTGTCTATCTTCAATCCTTTGGAGAGTGGATAAGACGTACATGAAGGAATAAAATCCCCTGAGATGATACAAGTTCACGACTCTTCCAGTATTTCTGACCAAAATAGATATGCATAATTTCAAAGAGAAGTATCGTGAGCTGTAATATCTCATAGCTGGTAACCTTGCTGCCCTTTCCTCAGTGTAGAATTCCTAGAAGACTTTGCTCAGTGCCTTCTGTGTCAATTTACCAACCATCTCTTACCCAACTCCCAAAGTGCCCTCCCTAAAAGCTGTCCCTCTACTCAAATTATATATTTCAGTTGTTTCTGTGAACCCATAATGTTTTTACCTATAGAATCCCAAGAGGAACCGAATTTTCCAATGGCAAAGTCTCAGATTGCAAGGAGGACTCAGCCAGCTCTCCTTCCCACTCTCAGTGGAGCCCACTCTGGGTACTTATAAGGTCAATCTGCGGAAGGAGTCAGGGGAAAAAATAGAGCACCCCTTTGAAGTGAATGAATATGGTAAGAATTCTGCCTGTGTCCAAGACGTTTATGACATTAGAGTATTTAAGAGTTTAAGAGTTTTTACACATAGGTACGAGCAAAAATCTAGTATATGGTAGCTGGAAATTAGCAAGTTTTTTTTTTATTTACCCAAATATTCACTAAGCGTTTTTCATGCACTATCTCATTTAATCCTCTTATCAACCATCTGAGGCAGATACTATATTGTCTCCATTTTATAAATGAGTACATCAATACTAGAACAGTTAGTAATTTACCAAAAATCACAGAGCCAGTAAGAGGTAAGAGAGATTTTAATAGGTCCATTACCCTATTCAAACAGAAATTGTTAACCAATACAACAAATATCTGCATGCATCTGTTGATCTGTATCTTATAACTGAAGGTACCTCCTGGCTGTCTATGACCTACACCTAGACTACTCTAATCAAAGTGGTGAGACATTGAAGCCATCTTACTAGTTATCAATCATGTGGATTTTCTTGTGTAAATTAAGTATATCATGCCATGGATGAAGAGACTTATCACAAAAATATCATTCCCCAAATTCACCTGGACTACCATGAAGATTATAGAACAGGGATATATTACAGGAACAGCTAGCCTTACACAACTGTGAGAGAGGATGGGAAGGTAAGCGTTCAGCAGGGGGCAGCTGGTGGATCAGAGGAAATTACTAAGCAGTTCTGAAGCATTGGGGGGGATGAATAACTTAGCACCTTCAAGGGGTAACTTCAGACGCCAAAGTGGACGCACAGGGAAACTTCCTAGAAGAATTTATGGAAGACTGTATGTATCTGTACGTCTTCTTTTCTACCACTTCAGTATTTCTGTAATCAAGCGTCTGGTGGTGGGTCTCAGGCCTCTATTAGTCAGCAGGACAAGAAGTTGGGAAGAACTGGACATGGGAAGAATAAGGACAAATTGGAATTTCCTCGCCTCTCTGTACCTGTCACCACATCTAACCATGATGATCTTCAGAGACTACTGATGCTGCTTTCCTCCCATCTTTAAGTCTTGACCAAATTCAAAGAAGATTCTAGGAAATGTAGGGCCAGCGTAACCAAGTTTACCTGGTACAAATACCCATAGTCATAAACACATCTCTGTAGTCAGTAGAGGCCCTGCTGCATCTTAATGTAATTGAAATCATTTCATGTGATCCTATGTTATAAGGTTCTGTAATAGTCATTACTAATACTGGCAAGATATCCTGCCCACCCACCTTCACCTCTTTCTTCCTTCTGTTAACAACAGTCTTGCCCAAATTTGAGGTCCAAGTGAAAATGCCCAAGACTATTGGTTTTCTAGAGGAAGAATTTACGGTATCCGTCTGTGCCCTGTGAGTTACATTTTTTCATCCCATTTCTATCTCCCTACTCTATGTGCATTGCAAGTAATCGTTATCAGACTTCAAAGTATTTTAATTAGAGAATGACTTTCTCTCCAACATGCCTGAGCTCCACCTAGGGAACAGGGGTGGCAGCATAAGACACTTTTACTTCTACCAATAAAAGCATTTACTGAACACTTAAAATGTGCCAGATAATGTTTTAAGTGCCTTGTGAGATGGGAATAGTTATCCTTAGTTTGCAAATGAGGAGACTATAACACGTGGGGGATGGAAAACTTGTTCAAGTTTCTACATATAGTAAATGGGAGACTAGAATTTAAGTCTAACAGTCTGGCTCCAGACCCTGAACTCTTTGCCACTATCCTATATTGCTTCTGCAATTAAAAAAAAAAATCTAGCTTCATGAAACATTGTACATGGCAGAGACTGTGCCAAACTGAACACAGGACATCCAGCTCAAGTTCATGCTCATGTTCATAACCTCTGTGTTATTTTGTATCCTATGATCCCCATTTTTTTATTGCTCCCAATTTCTTAAACTATGGAAAATTGGGGGGGGAAAACAGACCTTCTTAAATAGATATATAGCTATATAATGTAGAATTTAAAAGCTGTGTCATAGTTATTTCTTCCCTGATTGCCTTTTAGTTCAGTAGAACATTCTCCACATACACTGAGGAGAGACACTTTACCTCTTGCTTTTGAAAATAGTATGAGGATCATATTTTCATCTTTCTCACCAGTTTGATGTTTAGATTTTTCCTTCAGAAGGAAGAGCCCTTTGAGTGACATTTAAAGATAACATTCAACAAAGTGAGATTTAGTAAATAATTTATAGCTTTATCAGCACTTCTAGAAATTAGGAGGAAACAAAAAACTTTAAAAAGGGTCAGGGTCATCGAAGTCAAACCTCATCTACCTCACAATTTGGACCAAAGCAATAGGTCTCAAACTTAGGTGAACATCAGAATCTATGGAAGTGATTAATTAAAATGTACATTCCTTGGTCCCCACGTCTAAAGATTCCAATCATAAATCTAAGGAAAGATTCAGGACTCTGAATCTCAATACATATCTCAGGTAATTTCAATGTAGGTGGTCCATTAAGCATACTCTGAGAAACAACAGACTACGTTTGGCTTCACATCTTGTCTTACTTCACTCAGTCTGCGATGACAAAATACCACGGAGTGGGTAGTTTGTTGCTCATAGTTCGAGAGGCTGAGAAATCCAAGATCAAGGTGCCAGCATGGTCATGTTCTGGTGAAGGTTCTCTCTGGTTCATAGCTGGTGCCTTCTTGCCATGCCCTCATATGGTGGAAGGGGCAAAGGATCTCTCTGGAGCCTCTTTTATAAAGGCACCAATCACATTCATGGGGGCTCCACCTGCATTATCTAAGCACCTCCCAAAGACTTCATCCCCTAATACTACCATCCTTGGGGTTTAGGATTTCCACATAAAAATTTGGGGGGATGCAAATATTCAGACCATACCATAGCATATCCTTCCATCAAATTTGGCAGAATCAGACTAAGTCATTATGATACTGTTCATATATAACAGATATGTTATATGATATGTAGCTAGTATATTTAAATTCCCATTTAAGTTCTCATTTATCCTCTTAAAATACATATGAATTAGGGAAGACCTAGAAATACCCTGTCTACATATCCTTAAATTTTTCCCTAAAACAACTTAGGTATTGTCAAAGCTGGAATTATAACCTAGATAACCTGACGGCAGGGAAAGAAGGAAATAAGACAGTCTTATGGTAAAACCTCAACTGAAAGTGAGGAAAGATCTGAGAAAAACTACGTTGGTAATTTTTCATTTAGAGGTGTTTCAAAATGATTCAGTAAGTATTTTCTCTTAGAGTTGTAGACGTAGGTCCACTTAGATAATTAAGACATAGTTTCAGAATAAGTGTTTCTAAAGTACAAATGGTATGGAAGGAAGTATGTCTGCTATATGAACAAGATGGATATATGAATGGATCAAATCAGGTGAAAAATATCTGAGTTGTTTATCTCAAATATCCTTTTGTATAACTGCTTTATCGTTATAGATACACATATGGAAAGCCTGTCTCTGGTCTGGTGACAATTAATGTATGCAGAAAATACTCACAACAGCGTTATGCCTGCCATGGAAGACATTCACAAAATACCTGTGAAGAATTCAGTCAACAGGTATATGGAAACCATTCTCCCCAGGACACTAACACCAGATCTTGTTTTCTCATGGATTTTAATGCAAGAAAGAATATAATACAAAAGAATACAATACTGTATGGTAAAAATAGTTCAACAGAGAGTCGTGTGGAATAAGGGAAACATTGTTAAGATTGCCTGGCAATGTTAGGAGCCCACTTGAGAGTTGGGTTCATGAATTTATAGTGGTATTTATTTGGCCAGTTTTGTAATTTCCTTCTGAGAGCAATCAGCATGCCAGGTATAAAGGCATAAAATAATGTGGAAGTATCCAAAGTTGGCCTTTATCAAACAGATAATAGAAAAAGAATGTGGCAGATGTTAAGAATTTGGTTAGTGGGAGGGGGCACTTGGCTGGCTCAGCTGGTAGAGCTTGCGACTCTTGAATTCAGGGTCATGAGTTCCAGCCCCACGTTGGGTGAAGAGGTTACGTAAAAAAAAAAAAAAAAAAAAAGAATTTGGCTAGTGGGAGAATCAAATGACTTGTTATGGAATCTAAACCTCATATGGAAGAATATGAAACCAGCATAAAAAGGTAACATAAAAGCCCAGTGGCAGCGAGTGGGCACTGTAAAGGTACGGAAAAGAAAGTTCTCAAAGCCTTAGAGAGGGGCGCCTGCGTGGTTCAGTTAAGCATCCGACTCTTGGTTTCAGGTCCGGTCATGATCTTGGGGTGGTGGAATCGAGCCCCACTTTGGGCACTGTGCTGGGTGTGGAGTCTGCATAAGATTCTCTCTCTCTCCCCCTCCCTCTTCCTCTCTCGCTACCCTCCTCCCCCATACATGCATGCATGCACTCCGTCTCTAAAAGAAAAAAAAAAGTTGCAGAGAGCTAATGAATGGAAAGCAAGGGTGATGAATATGATGATGAATGTCAAAATAAATATCAATAAGAAAGATAAACATGAGAGAAATTAGGTTGCCAAAACTTTAATATATCAGGGACACAGGAATTAATTTTTATTTTCCAGTGAGTAAATTAAAAAATGATTACGTAAATTATAAGTAAATATAAGTAAATTAAATATGATTAAATTTTATTATGCAATACATATTTTCATGTAAATAAGTAAAAAAATGAAAACAAATCTTTCTTAAGATGTGGGTCCCAATGTTTAGTTTGGAAATGTAATTACTATAATGATTCATCTATTCAATAAATATATATGTTTTTATTAATGTCCTAGGCATGGGGAAATACAGTTAGAAAATATAATTCTTAGTCGATGTGTAGATGAAGGTGGTCACAGAGGAGATGTTGTATCTGAGTTGCGTTTAGAAGAGCAGTAACTGTTGGCCAAGATAAGAATGGGAGAAAAAGAATGTTATCACTTGAGGAACAAACAATGTATGCAGAGAGAGTACGACGGCACATTTTGAAACTAGGACCTTTAATTTGGCAGAAACAGGCTAGGCTTTCAGAAGAGAAGGAGGAAGGCAGAGGTTGGCAATGAGTAACTCAACGATTAATGATGACATTTGATATCATTTTTGGCTTGGGAAGAAATTTGATGTCATTTTTGGCTTGGGAAAGGATCAACCCCTAAAAGATGGTCAGAATATTTGTAAACTTTCCTTTGGCCACCGAAAAACTTTCACAGATTGATAACTGACTTTTTTGACAGCAAACCAGAGGACCCAGGAACTCTCCTTCTTTCTCTTCAGGCAGACAGTGAAGGCTGTTTCACACAACTCGTGAAGACTAAGGTATTCCAACTGAGACAGAAGGGATATAACATGAGCATACAAGTGGAAGCCAAAGTCAAAGAGGATGGAACAGGTTCATGTTATTTTCAAATATTTATTAATTCATTAAGTCAACAATATGTTAAGCATTTATCAAACATCCATTCCATGTGAAACGCTTTGTAGTTTCAGGGGACTATGAAAATAACACGGTCCCTAGTGTCAAGGATCTAGAAATCTAAAGAGAAATTGCATATATGTATGTATATGTGTATATGTATATATGGTCATACGTATATATTTATAACCATAACAAAATTTCCACCAGAAATGTAAAAACTAAAGTCCAAATGAGTATGAAGAGAGAGAATTAATTCTTGTATAGAGACAAAGAAAGTTTATAAAGTAGCATGTGAGCTGATTTATATAGAATGACTAATATTTTGAAAGCTCATGATGGACTGGGAATGCATGATTGGCATAAAACAAATGTGTTTGGTCTCAAAATAATCTAAAAATGTAAATTGAGGCTAAGGTGTGTAAAAAAGTAAATTGTATGCTAAAAAGATTAGACTTTATTATTAAAAACCTTGGAATACGGCAGATAGATTTAAGGAGAATGTTCTAAATAAATTGATATTTTGAAAATATAATTCTAGCAGACATAAAGAGGACAGGCTAGATGAAACAATTTGTTACATGTGATACAACAGATTACTATTCAAAATTGCTCCAAAGATATCAGATCTGGGACCTAGGAAATGGAAATGCCATTAACAAAAATAAGGAGTAGATGAGAAAGAACTATGGTGATGAGAATGTGTCAAAGACAATTAACTGTAATCTGGAATTTCAAGATAGAAGTTGACTCATTCTGCTTTAAAAATAATTTTAAAAGAAAACCAGAGCAAAATCAAGACCAGAAATGTAAATCTGGAATGATTCCAATTGTATCTATAAGTGCCATTATTCTGAAAGCAAACTCAGCATTGCTAAATAGGGGCTAGAGACAGACAAGGAAAGTCCCAAGCACAGAAACAACTACATTTAGGACATAGTGTCAAATAAACCAGCATAATAAAATTAGAAGTCATAGGGATAAGGGAAAACAATAAAGCTTTAGATGATGAAGCCACAACACAGATTACACTTCACTGAATGGAAAGGCACCAGGCTTTGGCTATACTGGAAGGGCCATACAGTCAAAAGAAGGGTCTTGCTGTGGAAGTAGTTTGTGAAAGACATTTAAGCATATTTTGAGGCCAATGTGAAGAATCATGGTGTATGCAAAAAGTCATGGGGAGAGGGGACGGATCTGAGAGAGACAAACAAAAATGGAGCAAGATCACAGAGGAGATGGGAAGAACTTAAGAACATAGATGGAACCGGTAAGATACTTGTGAAACCAGAGGAATTGGGGAATTAGGTACAATAATTTTTGTATGAAGGTGAAACTAATGTCAAGTTGCTTGTATTTTCTAAGTGTGAAAAATTCTGGAAAGGATAAAAAATAGAATAGGGATAGTACTTTGTCATGATGGAGTGAAACTGGGTTGGAGGCGGGAGGTGAGTTGAATCTAAAGAACAATTCAACTTCACTTATTTCTTTTTCAGAGTTGGAATTAACTGGGCATGGATCATGTGAAATCACAAATACCTTAAGCAAACTGAAATTTACAAAAGCGGATACACATTATAGGCATGGTCTCCCTTTTTTGGGGCAGGTAAAATATCTTCTCAATAGAATCATAATTTGGGGGATGTGGACTTTAAGAAAATGAATTTTTGTACCACAAAAGTACACTTGATTACAAAAATAAATATTTATTTAGAATGAGGAAATTTACAGCAAATGACAAACTTAAAAAGGCAAATACCATCACATTCAGAAAAATAAAGCACACTTTTATTAGCTAACTTCCTAACATACCTCTATAATACATTTTTCCTGTGTAGTTTGGCTGCATACTCTTTTATTTCCTTGTTTTTAAAAGGTTTTTTTTTCAGGGGTGCCTGGGTGGCTCACTTGTTAAGTGTCTGTCTTTGGCTCAGGTCATGATCCCAAGGTCCTGGGATCGAGTCCCGCATCGGGCTCCCTGCTCTGCGGGAAGCCTGCTTCTCCCTCTCCCACTCCCCCTGCTTGTGTTCTCTCTCTGTCAAATAAATAAATAAAAATTTTAAAAAATAAATAAATAAATAAATAAAAATAAATAAAAGGTTTTTTTCGGCTTCAAAGCTGAATATTGGTAATAATATTGGTAAGTTTTCAGACTGATATCCAATTTAGTTAACTATCAATTTTCTGTCATATAAGAGATATAAGGTTTCTAGGCATTTTGAGTTTTCTTTTTTAGTAACTAATCTTTGAGTTGACAGTTGTTAAGTGATTGACAGTTGATAGGCAATTGGCAGATGATAGTCAATTTCTTTATTAGCTGTGAAATTCCTAAGTATTTCACAGTTGATGACATTATGAATTTTATATTTTCTTCATTTGTTGCCACATTTTGTATCAAATTGGCAAGAAATTAATAAATGTATAGATATGATTGGGCAGGGCCATTTCGGACCAAGAGAAGAATGTGAGAAAACTAAGGACTTTTTTTTTTTTTAAGATTTTATTTATTTACTTGACAGAGAGAGACACAGCGAGAGAGGGAACACAAGCAGGGGGAGTGGGAGACGGAGAAGCAGGCTTCCCGCCAAGCAGGGAGCCCGATGTGGGGCTCAATCCCAGGACCCTGGGACCATGACCTGAGCCGAAGGCAGACACTTAACGACTGAGCCACCCAGGCACCCTGAAAACTAAGGACTTAAAGATGAATATGACTTAGTCAGAAATTTAAGGAAGAGGGGAGAATGGCCAAGGCCCTAAATGTGAAAGAGCTTTTAAAGAGCAGAGAACTAAGAGTGTGACTGACTGAGGTAGAAGATATAACTAACTGGGTTGGCTGGATAGTTATAGGTAAGCCAGAACAGATCTTGAGGGCCTTTTAGGTTATGTTCAGAATTTTGGACTGAGAAGTTACTGAAGGTTTTAAGGAGAATAACATGATCAGTTGAGCTCAGGCTGTAGAGAGAGTGGTTTGAAGTAAGCATGAAGTAGCAAGAGGGTGAACTGTGTAAGATTAAATAAAAAACTATTGGAAACCAGATGGGGAAAAAAACAATGTGTTTTTGTCAGCTGAGAAAAGAGGAGCTAATATAAAAACAAAGCATTTATTTGGGGCCTCAGAATTACAATTTGGGAAACATGGATTTGGGCAGCAGTTCAAATAGTGCCCCCTGTCCCTGAACACAAATATCAAAGGTTTTTAAAGACAAAGGAGAATTTTTTTATGTGCTATTCATAAGGAATTTTGATTGGTGTTGGTGGCAGAAAACTAATCTTGGCTGAATATAATTGGTTGCTAAGGCTATCCCTGAGCAAAACCTTCTGTAGCAGGTTGCAGAGGTTTGGGCTGAGTTTGGCCCAGTTCAAAAGTTCATGGGTCCTCCGGTGAGGAGGTCATAAGACCCATCTCCTTAAGGGCCTCCCAGCTCCATTGTAAACCTCTTGATAATTATTTCACCTTAAACAGGTTTACCTGGAATAGGAGAAGTAAATAAAATGTGTTTAACAGAGTAAGAGATAGCACTTGGCCATGGGTTAGCATTAGTCAGCAAAAGAGAAGATGATTTTTTAAAAGGCCCTTGATATTGTTGCATAACCTATGGGATGGATAAAAGCACCATATACTGAGATAGAGAACACTGGGGATGAAGAGTCGGAAAGGGTGATATTATGAGTCCATTTTTCGGATATTCTCAATGGTTTTGGGCTCACAGAATATCTAAATAGAAATGTCAAAAAGAAAAATAGTTTAGAGCCCAGAAAACAAATCTTATTTTCAGATTGATTCTAAGATCTTCAGTAAATGACAGCGGCCCCAAGGTCAAGAGGTGAACACAACAGAGGGTGGAAGATGTCATTGCTATGTAACACCAGCTATCACTTCCACACTTCTAGGTTATTCTAGTTGATGAGAAGGATCAACCAATCCCCAATAAAACTGTAGTCATCAGGGTAGATGTAACTGCATACCGTTCCAGCCTTACCACAAATGAGCACGGTCTGGTGAACATTTCCATTGATACCACCAACTTCACATCTTCTCTCTTTACAGTTACGGTAAGTGGGAAGGGGCATCTGGGACTACAAAGAGATTGCTGAGGCCACATAATTTGAGGATATACAGGAAGCATGTAAATTCTAGGGAGAAAAGAAATTACAATTAAGAGTAAAATAGAAATTAAGCCATTCGGAGACCTAAATTATAAGAAAATATTATTTGCCAGAAAACTTTTACTTTAGATAGACTCCATTTACAGCATGGTCTAGTTTCAGGAGACACTTATTAGATCATCTTGAAATTCCCTTGTAAAATTCAATATTTTTACAATTTCATTACAGATTAGATTTTGTTTGGTTTCTTTGGCATACTGCTATTGTTTTCCATAAAAAATTTAAATATCTTTATGCAGTTTATAGGCATAAGGGTATTAAGAAAAAGTAATTGATCCTGACTGTGAGTGAATATTATCTACTAAATCAGAATAGGACAACCCTAAGCTTAAGGAAAAGTCACTCACAGATTATGCTTTACTTGGGAAAGCAGACTGATGGAACCAAATAAGCATGGTTCACGTAAAATCTTCAGTAAACGACTCTTAGAGTGACAAATATATACATAACGTACATTAACAAATAGCATTTTTAAGACTTTTAATCTTTCCACTAGGTCACTTACAAAGAGAATAACCTCTGTTTTGATAACTGGTGGCTTGAAGAATTTCATGCACAAGCACAGCACACTGTAAAGCATATTTTCTCCCCAAGCAAGAGTTATGTTTACCTTGAACTTGTTGGTGGTACCATGACCTGTGGACAAATCCAGGATATCCGGGCACATTACATCCTGAATGGACAGATTCTGAAGGACGAAAAAGAATTAACTTTCTATTATTTGGTAAGAATGGAAACCACTGTAGCTCTTCCTAACTGTGTAGACCCCAAAAAGATTGAGTTCCTAAGTAATGCTCTTCGTAAGATATCAGTGAAAACCCTTTTTTCTTGAAGAGAAGTTGTTTCCTGGGGCGCCTGGGTGCCTCAGTCGTTAAGCGTCTGCCTTCGGCTCAGGTCATGATCCCAGGGTCCTGGGATGGAGCCCCACATCAGGCTCCCTGCTCTGCCGGAAGGTTGCTTCTTCTTCTCCCACTTCCCCTGCTTGTGTTCCGTCTCTGGCTGTGTCTCTCTCTGTCAAATAAACAAATAAAATCTTTAAAAAAAAGAAAAGAAAGGTTGTTTCCTAATAAAGTTATTAATGCTTTATTTTCTTATGTATGCTCTGCTCTCTACTGAAACGTTTAGTGTTAATGATTTCCAATGGAAAATTATTGAATGAGAGGAAAAAAAACCTAAGAAAAATGCCTTGCTAGTCAAAAAGAATGTTTTCCTTAGAACTCAATAGAAAAATAAGCAAAGTATAAGAAACCAAGAACTTAATCAACAGGAAATAAAAATTATAAACATTGGGGCACCTGGGTGGCTCAGTTGGTGATTAAGCATCCGAATCTTGATTGATCTCAGATCATGTCTTGATTTCAGGGTTATGAGTTCAAGCCCCGTGTTGGGATCATTTTGCACATGGTGCCTACTTTAAAAAAAAAAAGTATAAACAATCTTCTGGAAGATATTCAATTTTGATTTTAATTGGAGAAGTGAAAAAAAAAAACAATAAAGCAGTAGCACTTTACACCTATAAAGCTTCTAAATAGTTTACAAAGTTCATGACTAGAACAATTGCAGGAGAAAAGGACACTGACAGGCATATTATAAATTGGTATGATACTTTTGAGACCAATAAACCTATTTGTGTCCCAAGACTAAAAATATGATCCAAAATTGGTAGTTACTCAAGTAAGTCATTTTAAGAAGAAAAATTTATGTGTAGGAAATTCTATATAGGAACATTAACTATAAATAATATTTTTTAAAATTCTTTGAAAAAGTAAAAAAATTGACAGTAAGTTAGAATCTTAGTTTTATTGCTTCCTAATTATGTGACCCTGGACTATTAATATAATTTCATTTGTAAAGACAAATATCAATCATCTTCCCTGAATACTAGGGATGGTATTTACACCTATTTCATGGGAATATTGTGCATATTAAATCAAATCTGAAAACCAAATTATTTAGTTCAATGCCTGGTACATAGAGAATATCAATACATTTAGTTTTTTAACAATAGAGAATACCAACATATATTTTATATCTGCCTTTACTGTATATTGCTTTGTGTATGTTTAAAATATTTATTGAAAGAACATGTAAGCTTGAAGTTAATAGTCAAGATAAATAGCAAACATTAAGTAAAATATTAAAACACTGCAAAACTTCTATACCTGTTATTTAAGGTATGTCACTATACATGTAGGAAAACACTGAAAGAGAACTTGAGTATTCGAAACTTTTGGATTGGAGTAGTGAGATAATTTATTTATATATTTTAAATATGTTTACATAAGTATTTTACATAATATGTTACGTATTTTAGGAGGTGCCCTTTAAAATGATAACGGATATATTTCCCTCTTCAGATCAAAGCAAGAGGAAGCATCTCCCAATCGGGAAGCCATGTTTTGTCCATTGAACAAGGAGACAGTAAGTACTTCCAGGAGTTCCTGGGTTTTTTCTCTCAAATACTCAAATCCTGAACATTGTAGCAAGATGGAGTTATTTTCACATCTTACATTTTTTTTTAAAGATTTTTTATTTATTCATTTGTCAGAGAGAGAGAGAGAGAGAGCACAAGCAGAGGGAGAAGCAGGCTCCCTGCTGAGCAAGGAGCCCAATGCGGGACTCGATCCCAGGACCCCAGGATCATGACCTGAGCCAAAGGCAGACACTTAACCGACTGAGCCACCCAGGTGTCCCAATTTCACATCTTACATTTTACATGTACTTTTTATAGAGATGATGATCACAAACCTTCTTCCATCAACCGAAGATAAGGAAGCTAATATAAAAGATGGCATAGTAGGTTCATTTTAGCCCACTTAGTATTTTTTCTTCATTTTATAGCATTTCTAAATTTTAAATTTTATTCCTAAGGTAAAATATACTCATTTTATAATTAAATGTTTTAAAACGCATAAAATAATTTGAAAGCGCAGAAAATCACCAAAGAGAAATCTGACCATGTAGGTCTTTGTATTCGTTTCCTATTGCCACTATAATAGATTGCCACCCACTTTCTGGCTTAAAACCATGCAAACTTATCAGCTTAGTTCTGTAGGTCAGGCTCTCCCTGGGCTAATATCAGGGTGTCAGCAGGACTGCATGCCTTCTGGAGCTCTAGGGAATTAATTATCTGTTTCCTTGCTTACGGACCTCCTGCATTCCTCAGTTTCTGTCTTCAACTCCAGAAGTACATCATCTTCAAACCTCTCTCTTGCATTTCTGCCCCCACTTTAAAGATCACTGTGATTATATTGGGCTCACTTGGATAACCCAGAATAATCTTCCCATCTCAAGGTCCTTGACTTAATCACATTTGCAAAGTCCCTTTTGCTATATAACATATCACATATATAAGTTTTTGAGATTATGCTATCTCCCTTGAGGGGATGTTAGTCTACATATCACAAACTGCCATCTGGCCCCAGAGATTCACATCCATCCCACATGCAAAATGCATTCACCCCGTTCCAACAACCCTAAGAGCCTCGGTCCTTTATAGCATTAAATCAAGTCCAAAATCTCATGTAAGTTTCATCAGCTCAAAAGGCCCAAATATCATCATCTCAATTATCTAAATTAGATACTGGTGGGGCCTTGGGTGTAATCCTTTCTAGGATGACAAAGAGTGATTAGTCCCAAGAAATCTTGAAAGCGGCTAAACAAACAACATTAGGTCTCAAGATAACTGCTTTCTCTGCATCTTACAAGTATTTGCAAATGACATTTTCATTTATGTTCAGTTCAAAACATTTTTAAATTTCCCTTTGAGTGTCTACTTTGGACTATAGGGGTTCATAAAATAAATGTTATTTAATTTCTAAGTATTGAGATATTTTTCAGAAATTTTTCTTATTGATTTCTAATTTAATGCCATTGCAATCATATCTTTTAAATTTACTGAGACATGGGGTACCTGGGTGGCCCAGTCAGTTAAGTGCCTGACTCCTGATTTCAGCTCAGGTCATAATCTCAGGGTCATGAGACCAAGGTCCAAGTCAGCTCCACACTCAGTGCAAAGTCGGCTTGAGATTCTCTCCCCCACCACAATTCCCCTGCTCATGCATGCTCTAAATAAATAAATAAATAAATAAATAAATAAATAAACAAAATCTTTTAAAAATTAAAAAAATAAATTTATTGAGACACAATTTTATGGCCTGAAATATGATCTACCTTGGTAAATGTTAGCATTTCTATTCTTTTGCTCTTAAGTGGAGTGTCCACTGAACAAGGAGACAGTAAGTACTTCCACAAGTTCCTGGGTTTTTTTCTCTCAAATACTGTGAACCAACTTAAGTCAAGTTGGTTCACAGCATTTCTGTATCTTAGATCATACTTTGATGAAAGAATAATTGGCTTTTCAATAAAAGGGTCTGTTACAAAAAGATGAATACATTTGGTCTATTTATTTGTTACATGTCCCCAGTCTAAATCTCCTAAGTAGCTTCCCTTTTTTCTATTCACTTGAATAATTACAGGCTAACATTTTACTAAAACAAAATAAAAATAAAATAAAAATTTTTTATTGACAGAGCATATTTAGAGAGATCAAAAAGCTCATTTACCCAAAACAGTTCAGAATATCCAGGGAAAAAAATGAAGAATAACATGCTACAAAGATTAAAATGTGTTTGTCTTTTATCTTTGAAACCTCATTTTTTTCCATTAGTCCTTGGCACACAGTGGGTACACAATAAATATTTTTAAACTGATCTATAAATGAAGGATAGGATATCTCTTTGTTTACAATTTGTGATAGCTAAACTTTATTTGAGGTTTATATATTTGAACTATCCTTGAAGAGAACTAAATTTGAAGATAATATATCTTCCTGTTTTCATGTATCTCTATAATAAGTCTTTTGGATAAAAACATTAATAAAATATGGTCCATGCCCTCAAGATGCCCTCAAGGTGTTATGCTTTTTATGTGATTTTTATATGGTTTTAGTATTATCATTTCAAGTTTTTTATGGAAGTATAATTAACACAATGTTATATTAGTTTCAGGTGTACAATATATTGATTCGACAATTCTGTACATTACTCAGTGCTCACCATGATAAGTTTAGTCACCATCTATCACCATACAACATTATTACAATATTATTGACTGTATTCTCTATGCTATACTACTCAGCCATAAAGAAAAGAATGGAATCTTGCTATTTGCGACAATGCAGATGGATTTAGAGGGTATTATGCTGAATGACGTAAGTCAGAAGTGTCAAATTTATTTTGACCCTGTGGTTTCTGTGTGTTTTCACCACAAGCTGTCCTCAAATTTTCTATAGATACAGGACGGCTACAATTTTTAAAGCATTTTATGCTATAAGGAACTTAGAACATTTATGAGAAAATTAAGTGGGTCTATCCTATAAGCACTATGTATGCACACGGAAAGAAACCACTAAGATAAATACAAGGAATTGTCTGATAAAAATCAGAGACACACCCTGTTTTGTATGTGATTATTTGTACTTGTATCTCTGCGGTATTGAAAATGGCCTGAAGTAAAGACTGTGTTGCATTCTTTGAATTATCCTCATGTTGTTTTGGATCATAAATAGAGATAACTAAAGATGTCTAGAAGTTCTTCTCTCTTGACTTTTTTCTTTCTTTTTCTTTAAGATTTTATTTATTTATTTGAGGGAGAGAGAATGAGAGAGAGAGAGAGCACATGAAAGGGGGGAGGGCCGGAGGAAGAAGCAGACTCCCTACTGAGCAGGGAGCCTGATGTGGGACTCGATCCTGGGACTCCAGGATCGTGACCTGAGCCGAAGGCAGTCACTTAACCAACTGAGCCACCCAGGTGCCGTCTCTTTTTTTCTTAAGAAATCTTTTTTTTTAATTTTAAAACCAAAATGTGCATTAAATGTTTTTCTCTACTTAAGCAAAGGAAGTGAACAATGAATCCTACATCTTTAGGAAAAACTGTCATTGGTTCAGCATGTAGGTGTACGTGCACAATGGTACAAATGCAAGTCTTCTCTTACTTTAGTGTGCTCCAAATGTGAGTAAGTTAAATAATTGGAGAGCCTCTTCTTTCTAAAGTTGAGAACTCTTCCCTCTTCTTAACCAATTACCTTGGACTTTCTTTATTCTCCAGTGAAAGGGGTATTTTCCTTCTCCTTTCGAGTGGACTCAGACATCGTTCCTGCTGCCCGGTTGCTGGTTTATGCTATTTTACCCAGTGGAGAAATTGTCGCCGATACTAAGAAACTCGAGATTGAAAACTGTTTTGCCAATAAGGTGGGTCTTTTGTGTAAGCAGTTTTTTTATTCATCTCCCCTTTGGAGGTATGAAAAAGAAGGATATTATGTCCATTTTAAAAACTGCTGCATAGGGCTCCTAAAACATCCTCCAAAGGCTGACAGAGATGCCATACCCTGCCTGAGAGGGCTAGTGAAGAAGTCCAAAGCAGGTGGCCATAAACACAATGTTTTAAAAATTTCTTGTCTTATCTTAAAATTCATGTGGAATCCAAAATCTGCTCTATTAGAAAGCTTAAATTGTTCTAATTCTGCAGTGTTTTGTTCCCTAAGTTTTCAATTAAAAATGATGCTTCACAAGGATCAGTTTTACCCGATCGTACCCCCTTGACACATGTCCATGTGCTGTTGCAGAAGCCAGTAACTCACTGTGAGTTAAATTCTGATAATACAGAACAGAGGTATATGTATGTGCCCCATGTTGAGAAACATAGCCTGGGCCCCCTGATAATGACCATAGCGGAAAAATCTAACATACTTAAAATTTCCAAAGAATACATACTTGTATTAAGAAGCCTACTGAAATATAAATAAGCTTTATCCCAAGAGAATTTTGTGCTGTAATTTTAACATTAACAATCAGATGACATTCACCAACTTCACATATCTTTTTAAAAATATACCTAGAAAGACTCTTTAACATGAGTTTTTGGGAGATTAAAACTGCATTTATAGCAAGTGAACATTTCTGCAATGAAAACTATATTAGATTATCCTTTTTTAAATATATAATGATCCACATAAGTAATGATCCGAGAAAAATTCACAATGGATGCTGATTTAATTTTTAATTTCATCTTCCTAAAGAATGCTAGGAAGGTGTCCAAGAGCATAGTTTCTGTTCGGTTTGAATGTTCTGTGTAGTACTTGTGAATCTTGGAGAAATTCCTGTCTCCAACTTCCATGCCCTTCCTGTTAATCGTGGTAGCTAGTTGTTTGTTAAACCTTGGAATGGCCATGTTATGCTAATCGCTTTCGGCACAGTTTGCTCATTCGAGCCGTGTTTTCTCTCTGGTACAAAGCATGTGACAACTCCTGAGTAACACCAGAAAACTCCACATAGAATCAAAAGCCCCTGGACATTATTCTCAACCTCTTCATGTTAAATATCTTGTAACTTACTCATCAGAAGTAGAGATAAGGGGCGCCCGGGTGGCTCAGTCGTTAATCTGAGCCTTTGGCTCAGGTCATGATCCCAGGGTCCTGGGATCAAGCCCCACATCCCTGCTTGGCGGGAAGCCTGCTTCTCCCTCTCCCACTCCCCCCTGCTTGTGTTCCCTCTCTCACTGTGTCTCTCTCTGTCAAATATATAAATAAAATATTTAAAAAAAAAGAAGAAGTAGAGATAAGCTGGGGCGCCTGGGTGGCTCAGTCTGTTAATCGTCTGACTCTTGGTTTCAACTTGGGTCATGATCTCAGGGTCGTGGGTGCGTTCTCTCTCTCTCTGTCTCTCTCAAAAAAAAAAAAAAGTAGAGATAAGCTATGAAAAAATAAAAGTATTTAGAAGAAAGTTGACTATTTTTATTTACCACTAAAAGTTAGAAAAGAGAGTTATTAAAGTTACAAATTGAGGACCCTAGAAGGTAGACAACCTGACAGGTTGATGAACAGAGTGAAGAACAGACTGAGAATGTGAGGGGAAGATCCAGGTCAGTTGGAGATGTGTGTTCCCTCAAATCAATAATATACTTTATTTTCTTCAATTTTCATAGGGATAGAGAAAAAACATTTTCTATTCAAAATTCATATCCCTCTTTCTTATCTTAAAAATAGTAGATTTAGGATACATGTTAAATATAATGTAAGAGTTTAAATTGCCTGTCATTCTTGACTGGATATGATTATTTATTAAGGATAACATTGATTAATATGGTTAAGTGAAGACTCTCAAAGTATGTCTTAAAATTCTCTTTTGTTTTCTTATCAATAAAACATTTTACATTTTCCAACATAGCCACTTCTTGATTAATAGTATTTTCAGTTGATTATATCCCAAATATTTCATGTGTTCATTTGAAATAGGCAGTCACAAACATATTTTAATAAACTTAAATTTTCTAAAAATAAAAACAAACATGCTTAAAACAGAATTCTCCATAAGCAGTGTTTTCATAATATATTGAACTCTGGAGATGAATATTACTTCATTTTTTTAAAGATTTATTTATGTATTTTGAGAGAGAGAGGGAGGGAGCACAAGTGAAGGGAGGGGCAGAGGGAGAGAATCTTCAAGCAGTCTCCCTGCTGAGTGCAGGGCTCAATCTCATGACCCATGAGATCATGACCTGAGCTGAAACCAAGAATCAGATGCATAACCGACTGAGCCACCCAGGTGTACCTAGAGATGAATATTATTTCATTTAAGGATAAATCAATTAATATTTTTCATATAGGTTTCATGATACATGAATCCAACCGTTACATTAATTCACAGATCACATAGCAGGGTTATCATAGTTAATTTCAGCAATCCAAGCCAAATATTATTTCACTAAACCTACTGACATTTCATTCCAATCCAAATCAACTTGCAGTTCAAGAACCTAGAAAGTTACCTGATGCTACTACAGTATCTAGATTTTAAATGATTTTGTTTTATTTTATATTTTGAATATAAAATAAAACTCAGATTCTACTCAGGAAATGTTTACATAAACATAGGGAACTGATAGTTTCACTTATCAGTGAGTTTCTTCTGGCCAAAGCAGAATCAAATCTCTGAAAAAATTAGGCACAATTTTCCATTATTTTGTAGTTCTTATGCTTTATTCACAGTTCTTTGAATTTTCTCAACCGTTTAACTCTCAGGATGTATATTAGATGTTCAATTTTTTTAATGATCCAATAAATCCCCGATCGCGATCAACAGTACCACACCCCTTTAGAATGTCAGATGACTAAGACTGCCACCTGGAGGAGACTTCAGGTGGCTGGTCTCAGAGGTAGCGCATGATTTTTCATAGCACCATGCAAACTACACATTCACCGCAAAACCACTGCACAGAGATAGGTCAACCACAACAAGGTATGTGTCTTTGTTAGCATGTGTGTTCTTATTCCCATTCAGGATTCTGTTTCAATGTGACCAACACCAATTTACATTTCACCAGTTATAGAAGGAGCAGGAAACCTGAGTTAACTGGGAACACATGTCTAAGTTATTCCAGAGATAGTTAACCAGTAGTGCCGAGGTGTATGCACCTCTTAAGCCTGGTCTAAAACGGATGAAGAGAAGCCAAGTGTAGAAAGAACTAGTCCTAACCTGGGGTAGAAGAGAGTGTTGAGGTAGTAATACTTAGTAAATTGAATGCCATAATCATATCTTCTTTACAGGTAAATTTGAGTTTCTCCGAAGCCCAGAGCCTGCCAGCCTCACACAACAACCTGGAGGTCACGGCCACTCCTCACTCCCTCTGTGCCCTCCGTGCCGTAGACCAGAGTGTTCTGCTGATGAAGCCTGAAGCTGAGCTCTCCCCTCAGTCGGTGAGTCCCCTTTCAGCCTCGCATATCAGAAAATGCACAAATGGGAAGACCAGCTTGAGAAACTGGAGGTTGCAACTGAGGACACATTCTTCCGAGTGTCAGGCATAGCGTAGTAAGTTATGTATGAGATGGAATTAGGTTCAGTTCCACAAAAGACCTGGCACAAAGGGCTTCACAGGTCTCACCTCGCTTCATTCTCTGTTATAATACATTCTCAGTGAGGGAGCAACATGGCTGCCCCGCCACATTCCCTGCCTAGCACGGTACCTCCTGCATAAAAGATGTTCAACACATTGAATACATGAGGAATAATTCTTTAAGGTGGGTATTATTACCTTAATTTTAAGAATGAAGAAAACATAGTTGGATAGATCAAGCCACTACAAAAAGAACAGGCCAAAAATATATCTTAAGGGTGGAATTGGAATCAAATTTCTCATTTGATGTCACCTTTAATGCACCACGTTTCAAGATAGTTTGTGAAATGCCTGATTTTTAAGCTTTCCCTAAAATCTAGGCACTTACTCACTGGTTTGAAGTATGGACAAAAGAGAGTTTCCATTCAAACTTGTCCTTTAGAGATGCCCCTTGTAACGAAGCACGTTCCAAAAAGCCCTGTAGTTTACTTTCATCATCCCTTTATTTATCTAACAAATGTTCACTGCATCTTGACTAGAGGCTGGAGCCTGCTCTGGGAACAGGAGTTCTATTGGTGAACAATCAGATGTGGTTTTTTTACCATCTTAGACTTACAGTCTTATTTGGTATTAAAATAAACAAACAAGCAACAGAAACAAATAAACATGTAATAGTTCCAAATTTTTTTTTAAAGATTTTATTTATTTAATTGACAGAGAGAGAGACAGAGAGAGAGGGAACACAAGCAGGGGGAGTGGGAGAGGGAGAAGCAGGCTTCCCGCCGAGCAGGGAGCCCGATGCGGGGCTCGATCCCAGGACCCTGGGATCATGACCTGAGCCGAAGGCAGTCGCCCAACCAACTGAGCCACCCAGGCGCCCCAATAGTTCCAAATTTTGCTAAGTATAATGAAAGGAACAAAAAAAATGTTGACATACAGAAAAAACGAGTTGGACATTTTTTGAAATAGTGATTAGGAGTGTCCTCTTAGAGGGTCAGGAAACAAAGGGCTAGGGGGAGGCATGAAAAAGAATGAGAGCAGCGTGCCTGTAAGTCTTGAGGTCAGACTAAGACTGGAGTGCTCTAAAGGGAAAAGGTAATGGCCTAATATGTAGTGGGGGGTGGGGAGCGAAGGATAGTAGAGGCTATGAGTAAAATGGAAAGTAAGGAAGATTGTGACGAGCTTTGTTAGCCTGGAGCGGAATTTGGAGTTGACGGTAAATGCTGTGGTAAATCTCAAGAATTTTTGTTTTGTTTTGTTTTGTTTAAGATTTTATTTATTTATTTGAGAGAGAGAGAGAGAGAGCACGAGTGGGGGCAGGGCAGGGAAAGGGAGAAGCAGACTCCCCGCTGAGCAGGGAGCCCAGGTCACAGCTCCATCCCAGGCCCCTGAGATCATGACCTGATCACAGGGCAGACACTTAACCACCGAGCCAAGCAGGCATCCCAGACCTGAAGAGTTTTAAACAGCAGAGTGACAATTCAGATTTCTCTGTTAAGAAGATGTTGTTTGCTGCTGAGAGGATGAGAGCAAGGATGAAAGAACAGAAACGGTTAGTAGGTTATTGGAGTAGCATAGATAAGAGCTGAACGCAGCCAGAATTGGAGGTCCGCACGGAGGCCAGTGTTTGCTTCATGGCCTGGGTACTATGTGACTGAGCAGGTGGCCCGACACTAGGCTCTGGGCAAAAAGTGAACTGCAGTTGGTTTATTTCTCGGTTGCCTGTGCACCTAGTTTTTTCTCAAGCTAAAGTTGGTCCTGAAACAGTAGACTAAGACAAACAAACCAAACAGTAAGAGTTAAAAACAACTTAATCATTTTATAAACTGGGAAAAGAAATGAATCAAGAATTTACAGTGATTATTTCTGAGTGATGGGATTATGAATGGCTTTGTTCTCTCATCACACTTCTCTACTGTTCACATTTTCTGCTTCCTTTTTTTTTTTAAACTGTTTTTTTAAAGGTTTTATTTATTTATTTGACAGAGAGAGACAGTGAGAGCAGGAACACAAGCAGGGGGAGTGGGAGAGGGAGAAGCAGGCTTCCCGCTGAGCAGGGAGCCCGATGCGGGGCTCGATCCCAGGACCCTGGGACCATGACCCGAGCCGAAGGCAGACGCCTAACGACTGAGCCACCCAGGCGCCCTGCTTCCTTTCTTTTTACAGTCTTATTTACTTATTTGAGAGAGAGTGCACATGCAAGTAGGGGAGGGGAACAGAGGGAGAGGGAGAAACTCAAGCAGACTCCCCGAACATGGAGCCCGATGAGGGGCTTGATCTCACGACCCTGAGATGATCATGACCTGAGCCACCCAGAAGCCCCTCGGCTTCCTTTTAAAAAAATGCATTTGGGCTAGGACACGGGAGACTTCAGTTTAATTCTTACTCAACCAAAATGGGCTCTGAGACATTGGTCAATTAATCAGATTTCTCTATGTATTCATTTCTCTTGTACAACAAGAGGATTAGGATCCATGACTTTCATTATCTCCCCATGATTGTCTGTGTTCCTTTTTATAGTGTTGGCATGGGAGTATTAAATAAGCCCCACGATCTTTTAAATCTCCAATTGAACATTATCACACTTAAAATAAAACTAAAAAACAAAACAAGAGTTTTCCCTTTGTTCTCTCAATTTTGTAGGTCTATGACTTGCTACCAGTAAAGAGTGTCTCTAGCGTTGGATATGGAGGTCCCCTGACCAAAGATGATGAGCAATGTATCATTGCAGAAGACATAATTCACAATGGAATCGTTTACACACCAAAACAGATCCTGGATGATGAAGATGTTTACAGTATTTTTGAGGTAATTCAGCGTCCTGAAAATATAACCAAAACCGAGTTTTAAGTCTTTATTAAAATGGAGAACAAGTGGATTTCTAAGCTCTAGAATCTGATCTTGTGCCCCCTAAAACAAAGCTAAGATTAACAGAGAAATACTGAACCCTCAGAGGAATGGAGAACTTTGTATACATACAGATATTCAATCACCAATTTATCTGGCTCTTTAAAGAACAAAGGGTGTACTTTTAGAGCCCACAACCTTTTGTTTTTTTAAAAGATTTTATTTATTTATTTGACAGAGAGAGACACAGCGAGAGAGGGAACACAAGCAGGGGGAGTGGCAGGCAGAGGGAGAAGCAGGCTTCCCGCAGAGCAGGGAGCCCGATGCGGGGCTTGATCCCAGGACCCTGGGATCATGACCCAAGCCGAAGGCAGACGCTTAACAACTGAGCCACCCAGGCGCCCCTAGAGCCCACAACCTTAACCAAGTTGATCCCAAAGCCGTTTACTACTGTCATATCCTCCTCTCAGCCTCTGTCAGAGATTCTAGTATGTGAGAATAACCAAACATTTTCCATAGTACCTCTGCTATCCTTGGAAAGTGAATACCTTATCAGCAGCCTTATAGCAAGCAGCCTTCTGCACAATAAATCCGTATTGAATGAATAAATGACTGAATACAAAAGTATAATACTTTCATCATCTTCAGTACAGCAAAATTTCTGGAAAACTTGGAAGTAGCCTTTCAGGAAGAAAAGATTTACAAAACTTGGGTAGTCACACTAGCATTACGGGTATATTAGATAAAATGTTTATCTTTGAGATTAACTGTAATGAGGCAGTGTTATGCAAGGAGAGTTTATCTGGATTGTGAGATTAAATCTTATCACCACCGGAAGGACTAACCACTCTCTTTATACTTTGAGGAAAACATGTCATTCTGTAGCCGCGTGGCAGACAGCAATTTAAATCTCCCTCTTCTGGAGCCTCCAGAATCATCGATCAGTTGGTGGTAGGGATAGGTAGAGGACTTTTTAGGTTTACTGGCTAATTGTTTAATCTTTAAGCATGTATTTCTGATGTCTTTCTCCCTATTCCATATCATGCCACTACAGACAGTGTCCTGCCACTCAAAACGGTGCCCAAGTATCCCACAATTTCCCAGTACTCTGAGATAAGACAGCAAGTAGTATTTACCTGTGACTAGTATTGAAGAAAAAAACAGTTGGAACCAGGTGGGCTGTAGGAATCAGGCTATAGTGTAGGCATCTGCATGTCTGTTTTGGATGCAGAGATTCAAGATACATAAAACAAGGAAGAGAGGAGGTAAGAATAAATTATGAAAGAGCTGAACTGAGTATAGAGATTCAGGGAAAGGCATATTTTCCAATAAAACATGAACAAAGCCAATTTTACTAAGACCGTGAAGAAAAATCTCCAATATGCAACCCTATAATTTCAAATGAAAAGAAACAAATTACTCTGTACAGTAAAGCCATGAGATACACACACACACACACACACACACGCACACACACACACACGTACGCGTTATATTTGTTTGGGGGGAGAAAAGAAAGGGAAGATAAACATCCTAGTGTAAAATATTTAGTTTCTTGGATGCAAAATATAAAGGGGCATCAGCTTATAGCACACAAAATTCAGAAATAGGAATCAGAAGACATGAGTTCTGATCCTAACTTCTCTTCACTAACTGGATGAACTGGACTTTCTGTGAATCTGTTTTCCTATTTATAAAATAGCTCTGTTCCCTATTGTGTGGAATTTTCACAAGGGTCCTATGAGCTCTGTCCATAATAATAATGAAAGTGTGATAATGTAGGGGAGGAAAAATTTTTCCTCTACCCTCCTTCAGGGTCTTCGGGCTGAACCAAGAATTAATTTACATGAAACAGACTAACTGGAGAAAAAAGTAGTTTCATTATGTGTGCAGGAAGGCCCAATAATGAAACCAAGACCTAAAGAAATGAACAAGCTCCTGGTTCTTATACATTTTAAACAATGACACAATGAATTTAGGAGAAATTGACAGGATAAGGAAAACAGATGTTTGGGAGCTTTAGGATTCTAAGTGGAATTTGGGTTGAAGTCATAGATTAGAAAACAAAAATAACAGGGCTTGTTTCTACAGCTTTCTTTTTTTTTTAAGATTTTATTTATTTAAGCTTTCTTATCTACAGCTTTCTTGGCTTTAAAGTTTCTATCTCTGGTGATAAGGATTTTTTTTTCGTTCTTAGTACCAGGAGGGTACCTCTCATGTGGGAGATATGTTTCCTGCTGTGAGGGGGCCAGAGGAGGCACTGAGTGTTCTTGCACCAGCTGTCTCCCGAATAACTTCAACGCAAAATAATCAATATGCCATGTGGGACATTTGGGGGCAGCCTGCCCTTGGCCCCTATAGTCCAAATGTAAGGCAATATTCCACTCTCAAGATTGGATTGCCAGTACGCTTTCATAGTTCTTTTTCGTCCAGTCTGCAGGATTAAATATTTTTACCAACTCAAAAGTCCACAAGCCGCATTGTCAGCTGCTTCTGCCACGTCCAGGAATGCCTATGGCCTATTCGGGAAGTAACGGTGAGATTTATTTTCCTGCTAGTATAATAGGAAAAAAAATGATGTTTTTCTGCATATAAATGTTGTGACTGTGGAGCAACTTCTTGGTAAGTTTTCTCCAAACAACATCTCCCCCTCCCCCCAAAAATGGGATTTTTAAAGAAATCATTGTTTCTTTCTTTTCTCTCTCTCTCTCTCTCTCTGAAATCAAAATTGACTGTCATTTTGTCCTAGACTTCAATGATCTTGCTATTTCAAATCCTCCTTATCCAGGGTGGTTTCAACAGCTACATTGGTCAGGATAAGACAGACTATACCGCAGTAACAAACCCCCACATCTCAGTGACTAAGCGTATGACAGTTTTATTTTGGCTCACACAAAACTGCTTTTGAGTCCAGTAGCTGTCCGGAGCAGCTCGTTACCAGTGAGTCGGGGATACCCATTCTGCTTCCACCTTGTGACTCCATCTCCAGTGTGGCACTGAAGGTCATTACCATGGGAAAGGAGTTGGTTCGCACATGACCTTTTTTGGTCAGCTGTGGAAAAGGCATATATCACATCTGCCCTTACTGCAAGGGAGGCTGAGAAATACGAAGAATCATACGGACATTTATTATCTGTGTCATATTCTTTTATAAAAATCAAAGTGATTTTCTATATTTGATAGAATAATCCAACTTTTAGCAGATATACTACTAGTCTCCTAGTGTGTTTCAAGTATACCTGGAAAGGAGGGAAAGTTGAAAAGATTCTGAGTATTTTTTACGATTGCTGTCAGGCCTAGAGAAATTTCTCACTGCATGTCTGAATATCTACTAATCCTACTTCCTAAAAAGAAATGTGTTAACATAAAGTGTTTCTTAAAAATAAACACATACTTTAATACAGTAGAAATACTTTAATACAGTAGAAATTATTTACCTAAAAGACAAAGAATAAAGTTCTAGTTGGCAACAGAGGAGTAACTGAGAATATTCCCTCAACAGAAAGAAAACTCTGTGTACAAAAAAAAAAGAGAGAAAGAAAAACAAAATTCTGTGTACAGAAAAAAGAGTACTGTGCTAAGAGCAAAGGGACCTGTTCTCATCACATTCCTGCATGGTAGGACATATGGAACTTTGAAAATTCACAGACTCACTCAAACTTTCAAAGGTTCAATTTCTTCCGATCTAAAATCAAAGTGACAACATCAAAGTTACTGAGCATATGTGTGACTATAAAAGAAGAAAACAGAATTATGATTCCATGAATAGTATGTTTTTCAAAAAAATACTTGAAAAGCACTATTGCATTATTTTCATATCCCTCTTAATACCAAGGGTGTATTTTCTTTCCAATTCTAAGAGAAAACATGTTCATAGAATGACCCAGAAAACCTGAAAACAGAGTACCATCATTACATTCCTTTTTTAAAAAAAGATTTATTTATTTGCAAGAGAGAGAGAGGTGTCCCGCGCAAGCAGGGGGAGGGGCAGCGGGAGAGGGAGAAGCAGACTCCCCACTGAGCATGGAGCCCAACACAGCTCCATCTCGCGACCCTGAGATCACATCCTGAGCAGAATGATAACCAAGAGTTGGATGCTTAACCGATTGTGCCACCCAGGGACCCCCATCATTGCATTCTTATCCCACATATTCTGTAAGGCTCTCTGCAAATTTTGCATTTGTATTTGTCACCTATCCATCCTTTCCTTTTCATTTCCACCTTAGTCTTGTGCCTCATTATTTCATAAGGAAATGACTTAAAAACCACCCTAATTTACCTTTCTTGCCTCCAGTCTTTCTCCACTTCAATCTGTCCTGGATACTGTGAAAGGCATTATCATGCTTGAACATGGCTTTTATCATGTCACTTATTTCTCATAGATGGTCGCTATTTCCAGAATTCATAGAATTACCGTCCTTAAGGTTTTAAAAAAGCATGTCCTATGATATTATTTTATATATATGTAAAATATATATATGTCACATTTCTACTTATGTATTTATACCTGTGCTCCCTATCTTCTGATCTCTAAAGTATCACTTTTTTTTTAAAATCAGTCTAACTCCTACCTTAACAGATCTAATTTATTTGTCCTAATCTTCATGGAGTTTTATTATATAATTACATCTACGATTTACTCAACAGAGCCCTAAAATAGACATCCTGCTCCATTTTCCCTGTGGAGCATCCCTTCTGACCTCTGAGTGTGTATTAATAGAGCCATTTCCATCAAACGCCTCTTCCATTCTCCTCTGTTTCTCATCCTTCAATGATCATCTAAAAGTCTACTTTGGTGAAGTCTTCTTTGGACTTCTTTCTGAAGTTCATTTCTTCTTCTTTGAACTTCAATCTGAAGGTCATTTTCTGTCCTTTACTGAGTCTCTGCTGTCTGTAACACATACTTTACTATATCCTAGAGTTTCTGTCTGTATCTCAGTCACTGTAAAATAAAAAAGCATTTCTGAAACCCTCTTGCTGTAGCTCCTATTCATCCTTCTTGTTTGATTCTCACTGCAAATGGAGAACACGTGATCATCCTTCCAACATAAAAGGAGTATTTGGTATATTAAATTACTCTTTATTCTTCCTGTTACCCCCTGAATAATCAGCTTCTAGAGAGCTATATTTGCTTTCATGTCCAGAGGAAAGTACATTTACCTCCAGACTCTTTGAAGAACCAATAGGATTAGCTTTCCTAGAGGACAAATAGATAAATGAACTAGGTCACAAGCTGGTAGATTGAGCTGTTCCAATAATAAACATTCCCTGAGCAAATACCTTATTCTACTTGAGAACTAGGCAACTAGACATTCATGATAAAAATGAGGTTTACATTGGGCCCTTCATATGGTTCTGCCACAGTCTTTCCTCTAGCACGTGGTATTGCAGGACCAGTTTATCCAATGTTCCCCAGAGAGAATCTTCCAGCCGTGGAAGTGAAAGAGACAGTCCGGAAGTACTTCCCTGAGACCTGGATCTGGGACTTGGTGCCACTCGAGTAAGTTGTGTGTTGCCCAGGATTTCATTTAGGAAAAGATGTGACTCATCCTCCATGATTCTGGCGTTCCTGAGCCTTGGGGTTCTGCTCACCTTCTTTCTGGTAAACATTTAGGTTCATAGTTCATTGATCTCATAGCTCAACAATGCAATTTTTTTTTTCTAATTTGGTCCTGAGATATCTAAAATCATGCCAAGTGGGAAACTACCCTTGCCCCTAAAAGGAAAGGAAAACCTTTCGGAGACTTTGCCAGGAGTGCCGAATCTAGGATCAGGTTTAGTATTGACTCTACTGGGTTACTAGGTTAGCATGCTCCACAATCAACTTGGGTCCGTGCTAAAAAAAAGATTGACTCACAAAGGCTTCCTCTTATTCCTTTCTCTAGTTCATCAGGTAGAAATGAGTTGGCAGTGAATGTCCCTGACACCATCACGGAGTGGAAGGCCAGCGCACTCTGCTTGTCCGGGTCGACAGGGCTGGGTCTCTCTCCCGTCATCTCTCTTCAAGTGTTCCAGCCCTTCTTCCTGGAACTCACTCTCCCCTACTCTGTGGTGCGAGGAGAAGCCTTTACGCTCAAAGCCACCGTGTTCAACTATTTGTCCCATTGCATTCGGGTAAGGGCACTTCTCTGGGAGTGAGCAAAAGTGGAAGGGAGACACACAGTTGCCATTTAATATCCAGGTCTCCTAGGTAATCTCCCAGCAAATCATAGCTGAAGAATGATGTAGCCTAATTTGGGGATGGAATAGTTGCTAAGAGCAAAAGCTCCCTGACTGGTCCAAGGTGGTAAGGTTATATTCATTTGGGGCTTTATTTTTTCTGCGTATTCCTAAATTCAGACATCATTTCCACCTGATTATTTTTTCACTCTGACTAAAGGAAACATCTCTTTGTTGTGTTGGCACAAGCCTAAACCCTGGGAATATCTCAATTCTTGTCGGTTTTTCAGTTCCCTATTGGCAACATTAAACTACAAAGTGTTCGACAGGATTTACCTTGTTTGAACAATTTCTCAAAGCCTCTCAATTAGTTCCCATTGTCCCATGAAGCTCCTTGCCCCGTCATTGCCCCTCTACCTGTGTTCTTTCTCAAACCTGTGCGTGGGTATGGGGGACAGGTCAGCTGGCAGCTGGAAGCCTTTCCTGACAAGTCAGCGGACCTAGCGAAAAAGAATGAAGAAACTCCCTGTGTCTGTGCAAATAGGCAGAAAACTATGTCCTGGTCTGTGACCCCAAAGTCACTGGGTAAGTGGTAAAGTTGTTGACAAATCCTGCTTCCTATGTTGTAATGATGTGCTTTCCGCTCTGATCCAGATACGTTCTTTTTCCTCCTCCTTCAACAATGATGCATTGACAGAAAATTATATGCAGTATAGGAGATACTTGAAAAGACAAACCATGCAATATAGAGTCACTGTTCAACTCATTAAGAATCTTATTCCCCAGGAAAGGTGAATTTCACAGCTACTGTGGAAGCCCTGCAGTCTCAGGAATTGTGTGGCAACAAGGTGCCAAGAGTCCCAGCACTTGGACAGAAGGATACCGTAATCAAGCCCTTATTAGTTGAGGTATGCCGATAAACTTTCTCTGAGTCTCAGAGCCCTTATTATACTATATAGCATTATATAATATGTCTGTGACAGTGACATTTCACTCCACAAAATACAGATGCATCTACAACTCAGCTTCTTACTAACGTTTTCGCTCTGCTTTAAAGTGATAGATTTTTTTTCCTATACATTCAGTATGACCTTCCTTTTTCACTTTTTTTCAATATAAAGCCTGAAGGAATAGAAAAGGAAGAAACTTTCAACACACTCCTCTGTGCATCAGGTAAGTGTCAAAAATAGACAAAATTCGCATGTTAAGCCACTTGCCAAAGTATATAATTTTAGAATGCTCTTCGTGGTATGTTTTCCTCTGGGAAAAAAAAAAGAGTGTACTCTCCCATGTGCAAATCTAACGATATTTGATTCAGAACAGTCTTTTCCTGATGAAGGCTTGTAGAAGTTAAAAGACTTACCTAAAAGCTCCTGGCTAATAATGAGAACTAAAGCTGATGACCATAGAATAGGATTCTTTCCAATACCCCTGTGTTTTTCAAACTTCTTCCGAAACAATTTTTGAAGTATTAAAATATTTATGTGGCAATAGTACTATTTATTATTCAATTAATAGTTTAAAGGTACTCAAGTTTAATTTACTTGTATAAGTTACTTGAAGAAGAACTTCAGGTTCACTAACATGTATAGGAAACCAATATTTTACTAATACCATTAATATAATCATATAAAAATTACCATTAAAATACTCAACTCTGCACCATCTAGAATCATCTTGAGGACAATGCTCAGTGTGCAGATCTCTCCTCTCTAGAAGCATCCCTTGATAATCTCATTTAGTCACAGAACTCGAATAACAACTTTGTACTGGAGACCACAAAATATACAACTTGGGTCCACACTGCTTTCTTAACTCAAACTCGTGTATTCAGTTGCCCATAATCATCTCCACTTACAGGCCTGTAGGCTAATAGGCATCTCAAACTAGCATGTTCAAAACTGCTCTTCTGCTGGTCCCCACAAACCCACTCCTCCTACAATTTTCTCCATCTCAGATGATGGAAATTCTGTTTTTTTACTTGCTTGAAATAAAAACTTTGGAGTCATCCTTTACTATGTTCTTTCTCTTATACCCCACACCCAATCTACTTTCAAATCTAGTTGGTGCCACCTTCACATTATATCCAGAATCTTCCCACTTCTCACCATGTCCACTTCTACTCTAGTCTTTTCTTTCTTGGATCTTCTCAATAACCTCCTAACGGGTCTCCTGGTCATCTTTCCTTGATCCCCTACAGCAAGAGGAATCATGTAAAGCACATTTCAGATCATGTGCCTCTTCTGTTCAGATCTTCCTAGAGTTTCCCATATCCCTGAAAGTTAAAGCCTATGTCTCCAATGTCCCCTCCAAACCCTCGCTACCGCCATGACTTCATATCCTATTACTCTCTCCCTTACTCACCCTCCTCTGCCCACACTGGACTCCTAGATTGGTCTTGCAACACAGCCACCATGCTCTAATCTCTGAAATCTCTTCACTTTTTGTTCCTTCTTCCTGGAAGTCTCTTCCCCCAGATATCTATAAATCTTACTCCTTGACATACGTAAAGTCTCTAGTCACCTATGATTTTGTTTTATCAAAGAGGGGAAACTGCTTCCCACACCCTACACTTTCTGATTTGCTTTGTCTGACTAGCTCACCCATATAAACACTCTGCTTTAATTTTCTCTATAGAACTTATTAGCATCTATCATACTAAATATTTATTTGTTATCTTTTTACTCCCATTAAAGTGAAAACTCTGGGAAGTCAGGAAATTTTTTTGAAAATTGTTTTATCATTGCACTTAAAACAGAACTTGGCATATAGCACACACTTAACACATATTTATGACATGAATGTTATTTTCAAAAAACACTAATAATAAGTATTAACATAAACAAGGAAGGGAAAGAAATAAGCATAACATAAGGTATATGCTTATAAGGAAATCTGTAAAAATTAAGCACAAACATATTAATATGAACTTCACTGTGAGATGAATCATGACTTTAGGAGAAACGCAGATTGCACCGAAAAAATTATAGAATGATCAAGAGACATGACAGGCTAGAATTTGATCAAAAGGAAAAATTTCAAAAAAACAGAATATTTCTCTCATTTTTTCCCTTCCCTTATATATATTTGTGTTCTTTCATTAGAAACTGGTGTATCTGAAAAGTTGTCACTAAAAGTTCCTTCAGATGTGGTTGAAGGATCTGCCAGGGCGACATGTTCGGTTTTGGGTGAGTCGGCCAGCCCAAGGCAAGCAGCTGTCCGTCTCATTACTCTAGTGCACGCAGCCTCACCACCCACGGTTAATGAAGACTGGCTGTAGGCATCGGATTGAGAGAAAGAGCGCTAAGCTAAGAATCGCGTTGTATATTGGTCAGAAAGGGGGTTGAATAGATGTTGTGCTACTTATTATACCTGGACATACTCGAAAGAGTAAGAAGGGTCACTTCTCTGTGCCCTCATCTTCAGAGACTGACTAGGTGGTGATGCTTCTTAATAGATTTGAAAACGGTTTTTAGCAGACAAGCGGTTCATCAGAAAAGATGTGCCCGGCCATTGTTTTTCCCAACCTGGAATCATTGACTTTCTTTGTCCCGCTTTTCTCTATCCTTTCTATTTCTTGTTTTTCTTCAGCTCTTATGCTTTCTTGTCCTTCCCTCCGTACATGATTTGATCTCTCGTTTAGCTAGTAATCTATCTTCCTATCTCAACAGAAACCAGCTCTGAGTTCCCCCGGTTTTTTGGTTTTTTTTAAGGATTTGTTTATTTATTTGAGAGAGAGAGAGAGAAAGAGGCGGAGAGAGAGAGAGAGAAAGCGCCCCGCGCTAGCGAGTAGAGGGAGGAGCAGAGGCAGAGGGAGAGAATCCTTAAGCAGACTCCCTGCTGAGCGCAGAGCCCAACACGGGGCTCGATCCCATGACCCATGAGATAGATCATGACCTAAGCAGAAACCAAGAGTTAGACGCTTGAATGACTGAGCCACCCAGGCACCCTTCCTCTGATTTTTTTAATGTCTTTCATTCCCCAGGTGACATATTAGGCTCTGCAGTGCAAAATCTTCATAATCTTCTCCAGATGCCGTATGGTTGTGGAGAGCAAAATATGGTCCTTTTTGTCCCTAACATCTATGTTCTGAACTATCTGAATGAGACACGACAGCTGACAGAGACTATCAAGTCCAAAGCCATCAGCTACCTCATCAGTGGTGAGCAATAATCCCAAAAGGAGAAATCTTAATTGGTTTCCTAAATATCTCTCTCAGTGAACTCAAATCAGCATCCTTTTGGTTAAGATTTAATAATCACTGTTGCTGTGACAACCAATGAAATGTCCCCCTCTACTACCAGAAAATTCAATGGCATTATCAAGCCTTGGAGACATCTTAATAAAACAGTAGTTTTCCTATGATTCCTATCCAAGTTTTGAGGAAAAAACTGATTTATTCTCCAACGTCTCTGCTATTTCATAAATCTATGAATATTTCTTCTTCAGGGTACCAAAGGCAGTTGAATTATAAGCACAGTGATGGTTCATACAGCACCTTTGGGGATCATAATGGCAGAAGTCAGGGAAACACTTGGTAAGATCATTATTTCCGCATGCTTGCTATAGATCCATTCTATTCTGCAATTCTGGAAATAATTATTCTCTGATACCTGGAGTTCTTTCATGGAAATGAAATTATCCTCTAAAAATCCATATGTCTGTCATCACTACCGTGTGATCTCACCATTTCGTGTATGAACACAGGCCATCTGTGATAGCACAGTAAATAGCAGTAAAATAAAGAGCCCCCCAATGGAAATATAAGGCAGAAAGTGTTTTCATGTGAGATGGTAGTAGGAGAAGCTTCTGTACTGTGCATTAAGGGAAAGGAAGAGGGAAAAGACAGAAAGAGACTGTGATGTTATTAAAATCATTCAGGAAATGGCAGTGTGGGTGATGGAAAGGTTCAGAGCCTCCAGCAAACATTTCGTGAGAAAAAAAAAAGTGAAAAGCATCAATTCGGGAGAAACCAATAAAGTTGAGATTTAAAAAGGGAATTCAGATATTTGATGAACAAACAAGAATATTTAGCGTGCAAGTGGCATCTCCCCACCAATTCTCCCCAACGGTTTCCTCCCCCAGGTGGCAAAGACCAATGTCTGAGTGCAGTTGCCCAAAGTGAGCTTTCAGTGTGAGATGGTCCTCATGTCTGTCTCTCCTTTGCTGGGCAGGCTCACTGCATTTGTGCTCAAGTCCTTTGCTCAAGCCCGGTCGCACATTTTTGTGGAGATGTCACACATCACCAGTGCCCTCACCTGGCTCGCACAGAGACAGAAGGAAAATGGTTGTTTCCAGCGCTCCGGATCACTGCTAAACAATGCTATTAGGGTAGTGCCATTCGTTTTGTTCTGGTCCCTGAAAATAGTGACATGTAGGAGCAAAGACCCTCCTGCTGATTCCTCACATCTTGGTAACATAGCTTTGAGGAAGGATGGTACTCTCTAAAGCTTCTGAAATCTGACAATAAATTAGCAGTTTTTTAGTGAATTATAAAATACTGTGCAAAAAAAAAACCCCCAATATATTACTAAAAGTGAGGGGAAATGACTTGGGACAGATCCGAGAATTTGAGGGTAGAGGGGAAAGGGGGAAAAATCAATAATATTGCACGAGAAAAGATGCTTTCTAGTGAAGAGTGTGCAGGGGGATAAGTAGAATGAGCCAGCTCTTGCTAATGAATATTGGAGTGTTTGAGCATCTCTGCCTCTGATCTTTACAGGGTGGGGTAGATGATGAACTGACGCTCTCTGCCTACATCACCATTTCTCTGCTGGAGGTGCCACTACCTGTCACTGTACGTACCAGCACAGTCCCTGTATCTCCCTCACAAATATAAGGAATACAAATCATGAAACTATGACTCTCTGAGGAAAATGGGTTGTGGTTTTCATGTTATTTAGTTTTGGTATATTTCACTAGACCATAAAAGACCAGATCCCTTTGGAAGCTGCAGAGGAAATTATTCTCCGGTCAGAACCCATGATGTTACATGACACACTGTGCCCTTTAATCTGGTGTTAGCCTGTGGACAATTCATTAGCCTGCTTCTGCTATCTAAAGGTCTCTTTTCATCTGCCTTATAGCACCCTGTTGTCCGCAATGCTCTGTTCTGCCTGGAAAATGCCTGGGGATCCATCTCAGAGGCCCAAGGAAGTCTTGTCTATACGAAGGCATTATTGGCCTATGCCTTTGCCCTAGCAGGAAAGCAGGCCAAGCGAAGTGAGCTTCTTGAATCGTTGGACAAAGACGCTGTGAAAGAAGGTAAGGGCTGCTTACTGCACAATTTACCCCCCAAATCACCAGTGATTGACAGGCGCCTGGGGGGTTCAGTTGGTTAAGCGTCTGCCTTCGCTTGGATTATGATCTCAAGGTCCTGGGGTCAAGCCCCCATCGGGCTCCCTGCTCAACGGGGAGTCTGCTTCTCCCTCTACCCGTTCCCCCCTGCTCATGGTCTCTCTCTCTCTCGCTCGCAATTAAATAAATAAAATCTTTAAAAATTAATTAATTAATTAATTAAGATCATTCTTTAAGTTTAAGATCACATTCTGTTCTATTTCAAAGAGGACTCAATCCACTGGCAGCGTCCTGGGAAAGTTGAAGACGTTACGACATTCTGTTATCAACCCCGGGCTCCTTCTGTTGAAGTGGAGATGACTTCGTACTTGCTCCTTGCCTATCTTACTGCTTGGCCAGCCCCATCTTCAGAAGACCTGTCTGTGGCCTCACGTATTGTGAAATGGATCATCAAGCAACAAAACCCCAATGGGGGCTTCTCCTCCACTCAGGTCTGTGGAGAGAGCCTCTAGGAAGAAAAATAAATATGTTAATACATGTATAGACACAACCATATTCTAGGAGTTGAATAATCGGACAATATTTCTAATTCATACTTTCTCCATTCCTCCATCACCAGAAAGGTTCCAGCCTCTTTATTTTATATATTCATTATTGAATAAAATCCTCTGTACAGTCTCTCATATCTTCTTTCCTTAGTCGACCCCCAAATGGAAAATAAATCAGTCTTCCTAAAGCAATATTTCATAAAATTACTTCCCTGATAAAGTAAATCTTTTTTTATCCAAAGACTAAAATTATCTAATAATGTTATTCAAAATATTTACTCTCTCCCAGTAAACACAAATATTGCCATCTAATTAAGCTAATCCCTTCACTTTTTCTGGAATTGGCTCTCTCCTTTTTCTATGTCTCCACATAATATTTCCCACCCTGGTAGTCCCTGATGCCTCTCTTTCTGTCTATATAAACCTTTCTCGTGATTCATACATAATTTTATTTCTTCTTCATGGTACCTTCTTCAAGTAAGTCTTCTTACTCACCTTCTCATGAGGAAGTCTTCTCTTACTAATCTAGCTTTGCCTTCTTCTCCTTTCTCTGAATGTTTACAACAAAAATTATTATACAAATTTCTAAATTATTGAAATAGCCTTTGCTCTCTGTCAATGTGTGGGTCTAATTTCCATAGGTATAGTGTAAACTACTTGAATGGGGAAATTTTTTTATGTCCCCCTAAAGTCCATAGAATAGCTTATGTTAATAACGGGTCTAGTGTTTGTCATGAAATAACTCTGAGAGAGAGTAGTATTGATATGATTTACATCCAGTATGATTTTGTTACCTGCACTCCTGTGATTTCTGCCCCATCTTTTTTCAGGATACTGTGGTAGCTCTCCAAGCCCTGTCCAAATATGGAGCAGCAACTTTCAGTAAAAGGGAGAAAGCAACTGTAGTCACTGTCAAGTCTTCAGAGAAGTTCTTTGAAGAATTCCAAGTCCACGATGCCAATCGCCTGTTGCTGCAGGAGGTCGGGTTGCCAGAGATTCCAGGGGAGTACAGCACGACCGTGTCAGGGTCAGGATGTGTGTATCTCCAGGTGAGACTTCCAGGGTTTAGGGGATGCTACAAATGAGGAGAAAAAGCCTCAAGAATTGGATATGAATCTCCAAATGGAAAAGGAAATGTGCGCTAAAGAGAGACAGACTATTTGAGTGCAATGATAAAGGATTTTTTTTCCCATTTGTTTCAGACATCCTTGAGATATAACATCCTGCCCAAGAAAGAAGGGAAAGTCCCCTTCACTCTGAAGGTTGATACTCTCCCCAAGAATTGTGATGGAGTACATGCTCACAGGAAATTCCAGATTCACATCAACATTAGGTAAATCCTTTTGTTGGTAAGACCTTTTATAGAATATGGAGCAATTGATTTTCTTTTGCGGGGGAATTCCATTGTCTCAAGTCACACAATATGAATATGGAATTCTTGCAATATTTACTAACGAGAAAATTTTCTTCACTCGTACCGAAAAGCCTTAACGTTGAGCATATGATGTTGCCATACCTGCAGAGTGTGAGTTCATAATGATGGGTTTTCCAAATAAGCATAGCAGAAACAAATAGAATAGATAGGGAAGCTGAGTGGTAGTTAAGGATAGGGAACACCAGAAATAATAGAGAAGGGGGAATTTCTGTCTTGAATGAACTCCAGAGAATTTTGTTTGAATGCCTTGTCCGTGTGCTTTGCCTTCATAGTTACACCGGGGAACGACCAAGCTCCAACATGGTCATTGTTGACGTGAAGATGGTATCAGGCTTCATACCTACGAAATCATCCGTGAGAAAGGTAAAGCCTAAATCCTTTACAGATAGCAAAGTCGTGATAAATCCTGACATTTATGCTTGTCAATTTTATTGGGTTTTCAAAAGGTTTACTCCCTCACACTTACTTCTCTAGAGTATTTCCATCATTTTAATAGTGGGTGTCACCATTATGTGGTCTCCAGTGTAAGACGTAAGTCATAGACATGGTTAATAATGCTCCAGCAGCCCTTGAGACATTAGGTATGTGGAGAGGTATTGAATTATCATATATTTTTAAAAGGGAAATATATATATATACATATGTATAATATAAAAATATATAATTCATATATGCACATACATATGATAAATGTGATATTCTTCCTTTTTTCTTTTTATATGGAAAGGGTAATTCTCTCTCATATATCACAAAAATGTATATGTTAGAGATAGAGTAGATAGATGATAGAGAGATACAGAGATACATAGGTATAAATAGATGATAGAGATGACAGATAATAGAGAAAGGGTTTAATAAATATTACTATTTTTCTCAAAGAAATCACAATTAGCAGTTTGGGTGTTTCTGAAGAGCCAGTTAGATCATAAGTACCTGAAAAGTGCTCTTAGCCTGGAATTTCCTCATCCCATATGTCTGGCTTATACTCTTGGTCAACAGCTCCAAGAAAAGCCTCAGATTCAAAGGACTGAAGTGAGCACCAACCATGTCCTGATTTACTTTGAAGAGGTAAGATTCTGTGACTCTGCTGGAAACTACTGGAGTAGTGGACACATCAATCCAGATTCTGGATAATGTTTTGCACACACAAGTGAAGGAGAAGAAAACAGCCGTAGAGGGAAATGAAGCCTGGATTGGTCAACAAGGCTCGATTTATTACATTTGTCCATAGAATCATCTCTTTTGTCCTTCTTGTATCTGCCATTGAGTGTATTATGCAATTCTCAAAATGTCCCATTCTTTCCATAGGTTTTGATACAGATGGATAGCATAACCGTAAGGTTTGATAATCTCATAGGAAGAGAGGACGGTAACTAGAAACTAAGGTTAATCTTTGATTCCAATTCAGTTTTTCTGTCTCTCCAGCTAACCAATCAAACTCTGAGTTTCTCCTTCTCAGTGGAACAAGACATCCAAGTTGACAATTTAAAACCAGCTACTGTAAAAGCCTATGATTATTACGAAACAGGTGAGTGGGATTCAGACATGCTGAGTTTTGAAAGGAAAAACCTGGCTAACCTGGTAAAGGGTCACCTTAACTCAAACAAAATCCCACAGTCTTTCACCAGAAGAAAAAGTGAGTTTACGGTCATTGGATAATCATGTGCCCCCTAAACTAGTCTTGAACCATTCTTATTAAGCAATAAGGGGATCAGTTCTTTCTAAATTCTCCTATAAAGTTGTTTGTTCTGGAGTGAAATATTCCAGAAATATAAGTAGAATAGCAATAACTAAAAAACACCTCAGTACTGACTTGTGATATGACACCTAAAATTTGATCCATTTTTAAAAATATTTTATTTATTTGAGAGAGACAGAGCATGCATGAGAGAGAGCATGATCTGGGAGGAGGGGCAGAGGGAAAGGGAGAAGCAGACTCCCCGCTGAGCAGGGAGCCGGCTGGGGGGACCTGAGTGGAAGACAGATGCTTAACTGACTGAGCTCCCCAGGTGCCCCAAATTTGATCCATTGTTGACTCGTGCCTTGAGTAGTCTCACAAAATTTGGGAAACTCTGTAATATATCAGGAAATTCTTCCATTTGCTCATGACTTGGAACTAGAAATTTACCGGCATCATAACATGCTGGTAGTGTTAAAACTACTCTTTCTTGGAATGAGCAACGGTTCAGAGAGGAAGTTAAACTCCAATAAAGAGAACACAGCTGTGAAGAGGGCCATACAGTATCCCATAGACAACCTTCCATCTGTGAAACCTGCCCCTGACTTCTGTATCCAAGCCCAGTTTTCTCTTACTGCCCCCTCCACTAGTCCTGCATGGTTTAGTACAGAAGTCATTCGTTTCCATTGGCTCCATAACTGTCTTTATACTTTTTTTCCTAGCTTACACAGTTTATTTACAATTAACTGCCCATATGCTTATTACTGAATGTCTTCACTCTTTCTGTTTTATCATTTTGGTTTCAGAGGAATTCACTATTGAAGAATACAGGGATCCCTGCAGTGCTGGTAAGGTATAAACAGCGAAGTCTAATGCCAACATAAAGAAAATAAATAAACATCAGTTGTCCATATATGGTTGCTTCTTGAGTACATCCTTATCATATTACAAAGACCATGGTGTATCATTTAGGAACTTAAACTATTTCAAATGTATTATAGAATTTCTCGGTAGAAAAAAAAATGCAAGTAAAGTATAAGTACTGGGTCTGGGGTGACTTGTTTGCAGACAAATCCAAGAATTTACCACATATAAAAACTAAATCATCTAATATTTAGTTTATATTCTATACCCAGTGGTGATATATTTATCACCTGTGACCTTTTTAGGATATTTCTAAACTTATACTAGTTAAGGTCAGGAAACCTTTCCCTGTAGTTTTCCATACAGCACAGCATGAGAGATGTGATCTACAAGATTTTCCTTTATACCAGTCAACAATGTTCATTTTTGACAATATAACACTTGTGAGACCTTCAGTTCTCCATTCTAAAATAGGAAACAAAAAAGAACAGCCCTATCATTAAAAATAATTAAAATTTATTAAGTTCAAATATTTATGATTGAAATACAAAACATTATTCCTTTAGTCGATGACAGAATTTCCTTAATTTTCCTATCTTTTATTCTACTGTTTAGAATCTGAACACAGAACTGCTTGAAAATGGAAACTTGTGGACCTCATCAGATGATCTTCTCCAGGAACGAAGGACAAAGACTCATCAGGAGAGGGAAGATAGTGGGAGAAAGAGGGGACAGGAATTGGAAATATATAAAATTTGATGTTGAATAAATTTATGACACATACACTTCTACCATTTCTTTTGTTCTGTATCAGTATTAGATTTCCCTTCTGAAGTATATGTCTATTCCCTACAGTAGTTTTACAAACACTATAAAAGCTGTATGAAAACCTGAGCTAAAAACACTACAGATAAATCAAAATGGAATTCCAAAAAGTGTTCAAGTAACCCACAGGAAGGTAGACAAAAGAAAGCAATGTTTCCAAATATTGGAAACAACCAAAATGTCCATTAATAGGCGAATGGTTATACTAACTGTGGTACATTCATGCCGTGGAATACTACTCAGCAATAAAAAGGAGCAAACTATTGATCTACACAAAAATTTGAATGGATCTCAAGAACATTATGCTTGGTGAAAATAAAGCCAATTTCAAGAGATCATACTATATGATTCCTTTTATCTAACAGTCATGAAATGAGAGAATTATAGAAATGGGGAAAAATTAGTGGTTTCCAGGGATTAGAGATGGTAGGGCAAGGGGGGATTGGAATGACTATAAGGGCTTGGTTTAGAGAGATATTTGGGGTGATAAAACCCTGTATGTTTCATTACAAGTAAAATTTTTGCATTTCTGTGGCTTAATAAAATGTTTTAATAATGACTATGGTGGGGCATCTGGGCAACTCAGTCGGTCAAGCAGCTGCCTTCTGCTCAGGTCATGATCACGGGGTCCTGGGATAGAGCCCAGCACTGGGCACCCTGCTCAATGGGGAGTCTGCTTCTCCCTCTCCCTCTGCCCCTCCCCCACCCCCACTCATGCTTGCTCTCTCTTTCTCCCTCCCAAATAAATAAATAAAATCTTTAAAAAAATAAATAACTACTATGGCTGGTTTCTCTCATTTTTCTGTTTTCATCTTTTTTTTTTTTTTGCAATACTGTTTATTATTTTCTCCAGGTAAAACTTCGAAATCCTTTGTCAAGTTAATTATCCCCATAATCACACTGGGTACTATGTCGTGCTGCACTGACTATTTATCAATTTATAATGATTATGAATGCCAACATTTTTACAATATTAAGCCTTCCCTATTCAGACACAGTTTATCTTCATTTATTCAAGTCACAAGAAGTGAATTCTAAATTTGATTTACTTTCTGAATTTGGACTGAACTACAAAGTTAAAATTGAAGATTAACTTCATGAATATATATAGCATGATAAGTCGAAAGCATAAAACAATGTGCATCTAGAGACAAACGATATGTGCAAGGATCAGATTACAAGATAATGAAAGACTACAACAATATTTTTCATTTGTTGATAGAAACCATTGCAAGATTTGAAGCAAGAGAATATTTCAGATTTGCATTATAAGAGGACACCTTCTAGGCAAAGGGAAGAGGAAGTTTTTGCTGATCTCCAAATACACAGGCCCTTTGTGCAAAGCTCAGCTCTCTCCATCATGCTTCATCAAATGGTTGAGCACACTTGTCCCTCTTCCACACTTATACAATTCTACACTTTAAAAAATTATTTTCCTTTTATCTATGACTCAGACCCTCTTTGAAAACCAAACCTGTATCTTGCCTGCAGCCTGTTCTCTCAACACAGTGCCGTGACTATTGCAGGCCTTCAGTGAAACAAAAGAGTGACTGAATGGGTCACTGCCCAAATGAACATATTCCCAAAGGTAGATAGGTAGAGGAGAAATGGAGGAACACAAAGGAGGACCACTATAAACCATGTTTATAGCTTATCTCAAAACAGATGAATCTCTTCTTGCTGTTAAAGTTCTCCAGGAGAACACCTGTAACGAAAATGAGCTAGAAGTGTTGTTGGAGGAGAGGTGGGTGGGGGGATGGAGTAATTGGCATTAAGGAGGACACTTGAAGTAATGAGCACTGGGTGTTTTATGCAACTGATGAATCAGTAAATTCTACCTCTAAAAACTAAAAAAAAAAAAAGAATATAGAAAAAAAAAGAAAATTAGCTAGAAAGGCCATTTTACTCAATCCTGAGTTGAATTGCTTAATACTTCACAAATATTTTATGGAAAAGAATTTCATACTTTTCCAAAGTCAAATAAATGAGGAGGAAAAGGAATTTTGGTTATTTATTAACACTTCAAGCAAAACTCGTTTAACCTTTTATACGTTCACTGAGCTCTAACAGGAAGATTATTGCCTCTGTCTTGCAAAATTGGCTGTCAGCAATCATCAAAAGGGTAAATACACATTATCTCTGTTGTGGGTTGAATTGTGCCCCCCGAAAAGATATGTTGAAGTCCCAATCCCTGGCACCTGTGAATGTGACCTTACGTGGAAATAGGGTCTTTGCAGATGTACTTGAGATGTAAGTTAAGATGAGATCATCCTGGAGTAGGATGGACCCTCGATCCAGTATTTCTGTTGTTCCATAAGAAAAGGTGAAGATATACAGAGACAAGCATGCACACCGGGAAGACAACATCAGAGAAAACACAGAGTAAAGGTCATGTGATGATGGAAGCAGAGACAGGAACACCAAGCAAAGAGAAAGGCAGCCAAGAGGTTGCCTGGTATAGCACTTGGAGGGTGCGTGGCCCTGTCCACACCTTATTTGTGACTTCCAGCCTTTAAAACTAGGAGAGACTAAATTTCCACTGTTTTAAGCCAGTCAGTCATAGGAAACTACTGTAATATCCAATTAAAATAATATATTTTCATTACTGGCCCAGTTTACTTCGTTCATTCTTATCTGTCTTTTAAATCAGAAGAAAGACGGGCACCTGGGTGGCTCAGTCATTTAAGCGTCTGACTTTGGTTCAGGTCATAATCTCAGGGTCCTGGGATCGAGTCATATATCAGGCTCCACCATCAGGGTAGGTTCTCCTTGAGTCTCTCTCTCTCTCTGCCCATCCCCCCACTCATGCTCGCGCTCTCTCTCTCTCTCTCGAATAAATGAATAATAAAAATCTTTAAAAAATAAAATAAATCAGAACAAATAAATGAGCATGTTCCAAATGATTGAGTGGTGGAAAGAGAAACCAAGAAATTTTCTTTTTGTTTTATATATTCCCACACAGTTCAAAAATAAAATATCTTGTTCCGTAACTTAAAACAAACAAAAAATAAAATGAGATATGGGGTCTAGTTTTTCACATCTAGCCTTCTACCATGTTTATAGCTTATCTCAAAACAGATGAATCTCTTCTTGCTATTAAAGTTCTCCAGGAGAATTTTCTTGTATATTTCTCCTGTGGCCATAAGGAAAATAAAATGATTCATAATAAAAATAAATAAATCCATGAGCCATTAAGATTGCTGAACTTCAAGGCACATTTGGGTGAAAATGCTGATTTGTATATTTTAATCTGTGCTGGTATGCTCCCTCAAGGACTATTTGATCAGTGCTTAATACAAAGTAGAAGTATTGTTGCAGACCTTTCTTCTTAGAGATTTTGAAAATATAAAGGAGTCACTGTTATTTAAATAGAAATAGTGCACAAAATATCTTTATGCTTTTCACTTAATATTCTCAGGCATTTGTCTTATAAAATTTAGGAACCAGAATTAATGAGATAATATTAAAATAAAGAATACTCAAGCCACTAAGTGCAAAAGGTGTGCAAGGATTCAAGTTATTGTCGAACAAAGTTTGGCCTAAGAAAATCTGTGCCAAGATCTAATGTGTACTTAATCTGACAAAATGAAACTTGTCATGTTCAGTAAATGATCTTTGATTACCCAAACTGTGTTAATATATAAGCCACACAAAGACTTTCATCCTCAGTACACTTGGATATCACTCGTCCCAAAATTTCTCTCCCAAAGACACCAAGCAGCTGAATATAAAATTAAGTTGCTTCTTGATACCAGGCGTAAAAAAAGATAAGATTGAAAATAAAAGAGAATGCCTTTGCCAATTTGTGTAAAATAAAACAGCACCTTTTCTATAAAAGGTTTTATAATTTATACTAGGACGCATAGATGAATATTATTAACATGGTATCTCTTATTTTAACTAATTACTCATCAAAGTATAATTTTCAAAAAGAAAATATATATTCATATATATATAAATTATATTATCAAGAAAACATAAAATAAACACATGTGAAAGATTTTATTTAGCCTATTAATTAAGCAACCAGTAAGATGTTATAACCACTTCAAAGAACATCCAAAAGGCTAGGATATTTAGAGACAATTTAACAAAAACTGTTAAGATAAGACGGGTGGATTGTGTATAAAACTAAATAATGTAAAATATGCCATAACATCCTTGGGGTTATCTGTTCCACTGGACAGAAATTATTTGCATGTTTATCTGACAAAAATCCACAAGTAACCTCACTGGGTCTGGAACTTTTCATTTGTAGTAAACAATGTAATGAACGAAGTGTGTTCCCCTTGAAAATCTTTAAGTGGCCCTTGACCCCAAGTTGTATTGCAAGAATGTGCTACTCCTCATTTTTGCCTTATTGCTGAGTTTCTGGTCATTTTTCTGATGGTCTCCCCTCTCCAAAGATTATTCTTGATTTTAAAAAAGAGAAGGGGCAGTCTCATTAGGTCTGTACGAATTGTTTTCATAAGTGCTAGGAGGGTTAATTAGCTAGGTAGGTCCCTTTGATTTTGTCTGTAAATCTTGAGCCTTCAGTATTAAGCAACTAACAAGGCCACATAATTAACTTCTGTCCAGCAGCTTTCGTAAGGAATCTTGGTTCAGACTTTTCAGACCCTCTATGACTTACCATTTCACCTATAGTACCCACAAAGTTAGATGAATGTTTCTCATCTAAAAGTTCCCCAAAATCCAGGGTCCTTAGCTTGCACAGAAACGATCTTATTTATACTTGTGAGACTGAGGCCCTATAAGTCAGGTACCAGGTCAATTTCATGAGGAAACTTTATAGACATTGACTCCACTGATATTTCTCAATAGTAACCTTAATATGCTCGATGATAAATGAGAATTATCTTCAAATATTATTGTTCTGAGTAAGCCTTGATTACACAATCAACCTGTCCAATTATATCCACGTTAAAAGAAAA